AATGATAGGTGGTAAGAAAAAATTTTTTTGGAAAAGAGATCAGGAATACAAGAAAAAATACCACATTAGTTGTGGAGGGCAATACTGCCGAAAGGATGATTGTCCTTGCAAAAGCAATATAACAGGCTACTTTAATATATATAGCTTATAAATAATATAACATGTAACCAATTTTATTATTTTGTATTAGAAATATTTTACATACTAACTTTTTTTGTATATTTCCTAATATAAATGATTTTTTTATAACTTTCTTATACACATCAAGTGCAGAAAGGAAACAATATGCCATACAGAATTTTTATTACCTGAAATATCCAGCTTTATTTGAAAACCCTCAGAAGGGAATGCAGGAATGTCAAACCAACAGCACAAATGCCAAAATGACATGCCAGGAGAATTTGGCATGCAGCATGTCATACAATTCTGTCAGCATGATGCCCTGTGAGTCTCAAAAAATGGTTAGCATAACACTGCATGCTGATGGGATCACCTTGAACTTTTTGGTGGGTGGGGAGGAAGAATATTTCCATTCCTAGAGACACACTTCAATTCTGATTGAAAGTGGTGGACTCATGGTTTGTCCCTGATTTATGTGATGAAGTCCTTCTCCTTTGTATTATACTGTATGAGATACTGCATGGATAAGCTCATTCTGTTCATTTTTGTGTTCAGCAAACAACAGGACAACTGCTAAACCCATCATGTGCAGACTATGGAATTTTAGATGTTCGTACATGATGCAGGCAGTTCGATGAGAGCATCCCAAACTACCAACTAAGTTGTTCATCAACACATGTTGGTAAACTGTACTTCTCAATGTACTTTACACCAACCAAGTTAAACTGGATGAGGTTAAGTAATCATGACATGCAGAGATGATTTCTTTCCAATGGATTCTGCTATCTACCAGCGTAAAATGTACACTAAATTTTAAATGATTTCAGTCTGTGAATTATATATTGACTCATCCTAATATTTTACTGTATAATATTGACAATATTAATTATAAATTATAGAATATTCTAGTTATTATAATCCTTCAATATGAAATAGTCCAAAATTAGTTTGATAAAATCATTCCAAAGATATGAATATCATACAAATGGCATTAAAATTATATGATTTAATTTCAATATATATTAATTTTTGTTTTTTTATTTTGATTTTATAGTCAATTCAGTTAATCATTATTCTTTTTTCAATCAGCTTTTTTAATTTATTCTAATTGAACTAATTTCTTTAACAATATTTGTTCAAACTGTAAAGCTTCAGTGATTAAAAATTTTTAAAATATTTTTTAAAGTTAAAAATATTTAACTTTAGCATACAGAATCAAAAAGATTGTGATCCATGCTGTAGAGCAGCATTTCCCAACTTTTTCTAATAGTGGTACCCCTGCTTCTTTATTAATGTAGGATTGATGTTTTTAGTACTTTTAATAATATAAAAAGTGTTATGGTCCTGTTCAGACCAATATTTTGTAACACAAGGACCCATTAATGGTCAAGTGGATAAAGCCTCTGATGCTTGGTCCTGGGTTTATGCCTCACCAATGGATTGGACACAGTATTTTCAGGTTTTCTTCACAGGTCCAACATCTAAATAGAACCAGTTTCCTACAGAAGGTCCTCCCAGGATGCACTCCTCCTTGGCAGATGGCCCAAGTGTTGAATTGCTCTTTTCCATCAATCCATTTTTTAACACCCCTGAAGTGTCATTATGGCAGAGTGTCAAGACACCCTTGTTGAAAACCACAGCTCTGTCTCTTTTTCTCCAATTTCTTATAAATTAGACAATAAATCAACAAACAGAAAATTTATCACATAATCAAGAATCTGTTTTCTATATATTTACTAGCATTATCTAAATTATAAAGCCAGTCAATATACTTATAATTGTGAACAGAATAATTATTTATACATTCATTAACCCTCCAATATTTCATTCTCGAATACTCATAAAATAAGAGATACTACTCTTAATCTGAAATGTTATACCAGGTTGTTCAATAAGTTTGTCATTCAATAAGAGATGGCGCTATTAGGATCGTCACTTTATTTCTCTAAAAATAGTACTACTGTTTCATAAACACGTGTCAAGTTTCAAGTAGATCTGTCAACTCATTTGTAAATTTGCAGCTGTTCAAAGTTGAAGTGTCACTGTATTTTTTTACAATGGAAAAAATTGAATATTGTGCAGTGATAAAATTCTTATTTTTGGAAGATGTAGCACCAAAACAAATTCATGAACGATTGTTAAAAGTGTATAAGGATTCTTCCCCTTCAATTAGAACAGTAGAAAGATGGGTTGCTGAATTTAAACGTGGTCGTATGAGTCTTGAAGGCAATCCACGTGAAGGACATCCAAAAAGTGCATCAACATCAGAAATCATAGCAAAAATACAGCATATGGTTTTGGAAGATCATCGATTAACCAAGAGAGATTTAATAGAAGCCCTAGGGATCTCGTTGGCAGTGTGAGCAATATTTTGGCTGAAGTTTTGGGTTACAGAAAGCTGTGTGCACAATGGGTGCCGCATTCGCTAACTATGGAACAAAAACACATTCGAATGCAACTTTCTCAGCAACATTTGGAGTGTTTTAGAAAGGATAAAAAGGATTTTGTGCATCATTTCATCACTATGGATAAGACTTGGGTCTACCACCATGATCCTGAATCAAAACAAGAGGCTAAGGAGTGGTATGAACTTGGTCTTCAGTTCCGAAGCGAGTTAGGGTCCAGAAATTGGCCAAGAAGGTGTTAGCATGTTTTTTGGGATGCAAAAGGAATTTTGTTTGTGGATTACCTCCAAAGTGGTAAAACAATAAACTCAGATTATTATTGTAACCTTTTCGACTAGCTGGATGTAAAAATTTGTGAGAAAAAACCTGGTTTAAAGAAGAAAAAAATCATTTTTCATCAAGAGAACGCACCCTCTCACACAGCTCAAAAAACCGTCACGAAAATCAGTAAATTAAAATACGAATTGTTGCAACATCCTCCCTATTCGCCAGATTTAGCTCCCTCTTACTTCTGGCTGTTCTTACATCTCAAAAAATTCGTGCGTGGGAAACGATTTTCATCAAACGAAGAGGTAATAGCAGTCATGAAAGCATATTTCAACAGTCTTCCAGATTCTCACTTTAGGGATGGAATCCATAAATTAGAAGATCACTGGAACAAGTGTATTGAAGTTCAGGGAGATTATATTGAATAATAAAATGTATTTCAAACCATAAAATTGTGTTTTTCTTATCGAACGACAAAACTTATTGAACAACCTGGTATATCAGTGACATGCCATTCTTGCAAGCAGTGGAAGCGCCACTTCCCTTGTATTTTCTAAAATATAAATACATATTATGCGATTATTTTCATATTTTAATGTACTTTGAATTAATTAAAATTACTATTTTATTATAACCACATTATGTATCTTGATAGAAACATTTAATACTTCAGAAGCCTCACTTATCTTCTAATAATGTAATCTAGATAAAAATTTAAACAATTTGAAATTTTAGAATTAAAACTTTTTTAATAATTTACTTTTTGATTTAGATTTCATCTGTAGTACTTGTATTTTGAATATTTTGAACAGATGAGGAAAAAAAATTACAAAAGTATTTCAAATTTTAACCTTCATTCCTGAATTTGATTATTTAAATCAAATAACATTAGTAAAGACAAAATAATAAAAATATTTTATTAGTCTTTTTTCATGCTAGCTTATAATATTTTGATTTATAAAAATACTCTTTAAATTTAAATGTAGGAAATAAATTTCATTCAAATTATCTCATGTATTTTCTAAATAAGAGAGGTGATGAATCCAATTTTCTGATTTATTCATTTTACTGTTTTAAAATAAGAAATAAACAATCTTTGAAATCTTTAAATTTTAGATTTAAATATGTAAGTTAAATTCTTTCTTCTATATTATCAGTTCCAATAGCATATATATATAATGTAAAAGAACAGACTAATGAAAACCTTTATATTTATTTGCTCATATGACATCTTTAATTAAATGAAATTAACAATCTCAATCTATTTTTTCAATTATAAATTATTTTGTAAAAATAACAAAACCTCAATATGAACTTATTTAATTTACAAATATGCATAATTAATATTTGCTCTCTTAATTAATTCTGTTTAGTTATCAAATGCAATATTTAAATAAATTTAAATAATGTTAAATATTTTATTTATTATTATTTATATTTTACAATATTAAATCTCTACACTTTTCTGAAATATTACAATACTACAAATCAAAATAAATACAATAGTATATGTCATTAACAAAAGCTCTAGCTGTCATAAAGTAAAATATGTATTATATAAAATCTACTAATTGTATCAGTGATTGTAGATTCTATTAGACATTGTTCAGTTCACTAAAGGAGTTCATATTAAACATTATTAATTCCAAATGAAGTTTTGTAAACTTCAAGTAATGATTTCAAAGAATGTTTATTTCCTATATTGTAAAAGGTTTTGTTTTTCCAAGTGTCATTTCATAAGATGTCTTATAAAACTATTAAAGTTTTAAATTTTGTTATATGTAGAAACGAATATATATTCCTTAACATTATATATTTAACTACATAAAGAATATATGCAGTGGCATGCATATAAACTACATAAAGAATATATGCAGTGGCATGCATATAGTTTTACTATTTACATATATATTGTGGAGCATAATATGCGTATTTGCATTTGATGTATTGTTGTGTATAAAGTATGAAACATGACTTCGATACAAGTAAGAAATAAAATAATAATTTTAGAAATTTCAAAAATGTTTAAAATAAAAAGTTTTCATTTAAAATTTGTTATCAGGTCTCAATAGATGACGCTGTTCAAACTTGGACAAGAAATTCCGCCATCTTTGTATTCGAATCACGTCAACCAAAGCGAACGAATGTCAATCCTAAAACGTTACAACAACCAGATTATAAAAATTAGATGATATAGTGTGATCATACCTTGGCTAAATGACGTATTTATATATACATCATACCAACAGCTCATTAAAATATTAACAAATGTCAATTCCTTTACTTCACTTCCGCTGAGTTTTCTTGAATACCCCCCACAAAAATTGTTTATTTCTGTTCCCTCGAGATGGCACCACTGATTGTTTTCTGATACGTGAGCAGTGTTGTTTGTGTTTCATTTACTGAATATTCCTGCATAAAAATTTTCATAAATATTTTTTATTTGTTATTTATTTACGAATATATTTTAATCATGTATAAAAACCTTGAAAATATCATTGTGTAATTTAATAATAGCATCAATTATAATAATCAATTTAAGATTATTTTCGTTTTCAATTAAAAAAAAATAAGATTAAAGTATGCATTTTAATAATTAAAACCATAAAAGCATTCAATAAAAATTACAATAAAATGCATATGTTTGTAATATACAATTAAATTTTCACATAAGATTTTTTTCTAATTTCATATACATTGCTATACAGTACTTGTAATATACAATGCGACATGTTTGCTGTTTGTAAACTGAAAATATACAGCTTATATATATTGCATTTAATAAAATTCGGAAGAATAATTACATGTAATTATAATTAAGAAAATTAAAGTTTTTATAACTTTTATAATTTTTCGATAACTAAATAATTTTATAAATTCGCTCTATTGTTAATCAATTTTATTTTTATTTGATTATTAATTGTATAGAACATAAAACCGTAAAAATATCGTAAAAGGAATTATAAAAACAATAAACTGTTGTTTAAATTTTTTTAATTCGATAATTAAAATAGTTCAGTGGTTTATATTATGAAAATACTTGATAGATTCTGTAGAATAAATGAACGTATTGATATAATTTAACATATTCTTTAATAATATTTAAAAATAAAGATAGGTTAATTACAACTTGAAATTACGTAGTTTATTCCAAATGACGTATGGCTAAATGACGTATTTATATATACATCATACCAACAGTAATAAATGTAATAATTTTTCATGTAAACTGAACATATTGTAGTGGTATAGTATTATTAAAATATATGTAGTGATGCGCTTTTTTCACATTCAATGTGAAAAGGACATAATACGTATGTATAAGTTTTAAAACTGGTATCTTATAATACTATATGTGAAAAAATGAAATAAAATTGATGATACAAATGTGTTAGTATTAATTTAATAATATAAGCGAAATTGAATTTAGATTTGAATGCTTTTCAATGGCGATGGGTAGCCTATATCTAAATAATAAAGCTCGTTAGCAGTTATAACGGCAGTGAAGACTGAAATAATGCATAAAATTAGAATTTCCATATATTTATTGTAATAGAAAGAAATTTAATTTTCCTAATATAAATTTTCAGCTATTAATTTGTTAAATCTGTCAGTTTTCAGCGGAAAATTCATGTTATATTTTGAAAAAGTCAGAGAATGTTTTGTTCAAAATAAGAATAAGTTAAATTTTTTGACACTTACAAGTTTAATTTTAAAATATTTTAGAAATCATTAGAGTTGGCAACACTAATTTGTATTAAAAATGGCTGCCTACAGGTTAAATAACCTGATGTTATCCTCCAATGAGATAAGTTAACGAGACTTTAACGTATTTAAATTTGTATTCATAAATATTGATGCACGGAATTTTATAATTGTAATAAAATAGGAATAAATTATATTTTTAATTTAATATGGAAATTGATATAAATGAAAGGGAGTTACCAAATGATGCTTGGATGGTGAAACCATGTGAATGGTATAAAGAAGAATATCGAGATTGTATGAGCTTCAAAGCAAGATTTAATCAATATTTTATTTATGGAAAATTTCTTGACTGCAAAGAATGGTTGTGTAATTATGAAGACTGTTTGAAATGGAGAAAATGTAAAGATCCACAATATCTTTCATCGGTAATTGAAGATGAAAAGCGTCGAAGAGAAAAAAGAATGAACTCTGCAAAAGAAAACGATGTTTGGGAATTAAGAAAGGAACCACCTAAAGATTGGAATAAACCTTTACCTGATTATTTAGTAGCACGACAGACTTATTCTATTTTTGAAGAAAAAGAAAAGGAATTTAAAAAATTGGGAACTTATGGAAATTCTTCGAAGTTATGTACAATCTTATAACTTAAGTTAGATTTAGTATCTTTTAGTTAATTATATATATAATTTTCATCAAAAAAGAAAATTTTTGTATTATGTATATGTAGAAACTAGTTTCAATATTTTATTTTTATTAGAAAACTTGTGTATTTACATGTAATATGTAAACTATGAAATATAATTAAATTTTTTTTTTCTTAGAAATAAGTAAATCATAAATGCAATCCAAATTTAAAAATAATGCTTTTGTTTGTAAATTCTTGTTAACAAATATTTTTAACTCGCTGTTAGGATGCAACTATGCAGACGTGAGCGAGCAAGAAGAGATGATGATTTTTCATGCTCTTACTCTTATCTGTGCAGTCATAATAAATGAGTGTGAGAAACAGTGTGTGAAACGTCATCTCTTCTTGCCACATTCTTGCTCGCTCGCATCTGCATAGTTGCATCCTTACTCAAGGGTGAGCACTGCACTCACCTTTCATTTTAAAGCTTGTAACTATGGCTTCTTGGAAATTTTATGGCAAACTCTTGTCTACCTTCCTACCTGAGTATCCTCTTCAACAAGATACCAGAATCAGAAATAATAACGACCACTAACACTTTTAGTGCTGCCTTTGTTTCAGTCATGTTGGACAACTTAGTGTGGTGCTCACCTGCAGATAGTCCTTTTTTTATTTTTTTCTCTCACATTTGAAGTGTTATGATTCTAATTGATTCTAAAACATAACAACAAAGTGACTAAATTATTATAATAAATTTAATTTTAATTTAGAAATTTCTGGAAGAAAGGAATTGGACTAGAGCAGGAGTTAAATCTGCAACTTCTATTTACTATGCAGATGCATTGCCAATTACACTACCTGGATCTCCATCCAATCTTTCCTTCCAGAACTATTAATTTAGATATGGATTATATATATAATCCAACTGGGGACATCTTAAATATCTCAGCCAGCCAAGGAGATAAGGCTGTGGAGGCTCAATTAATTTATTATAATAATAATTAAAATTAATATGAGATGGTGTCATATCTGCCCATTCTAGTCAAAACAACTAAAGGTTGCTTGTGTGAACATTTCATAATGTATCAATTTACGTATGAAACTAAGTTATATTAAACAATGTTTGTGCATCAAAATATTAATGCCCTACCATATCTTCACCATTTTGCATGCCTGACTTGAGGATTATGCACAAGTGTTCCATGGAACACTTGTGCATAATCCTCTCTCAAGCCTTGTATAAAGTTGGACAACAATTATCAACTGTTGCAGAGCTCAAAAAACCTAAAATAAAAGGTTGGGAAGATATATTTTGTGAAACCTTGATAAATTTGGTGGAATTCCTTTCTGATCTAATCCTTGAAGTACTGTAATTACAAATTGTGGTGATTCCACAACATATTATTTTTGATATTAAGAACTGATATTGTGAAATTCTCTTAGTGTCTTACAATTTTGTCCTTATTACTTTTTCTGTTTTTTAAAGAAGTCATAAAAAAAATTCAGTTTCTGAAGTGGATGATTTTGATAACAAATTCTACTTATTTTTTGTTTGCTGAATTTAGTATTTTTCATTTTAGTGCAAATTTTGATGTCATAATTTTTTCCAAGACTGTATGATTTGAAAATTATTATATTGATACTGATACTTAAAATAGCTTTTCAAATTTCTAAAGTTTTATATTTAAATAGCAGAATTTTAAACTTTTATAAATATTAGAAGACAAATAAACTGTTTAAAATGATACTACTGTTAAAAGCATAATTTATTGAATTTCAGTAACTAAATAACAACCCAATGAAAAAATTAAGGTAAAATTTTTTTATAAATTCAAAATTAATTTTTTTAAGATATTTAGTAACTTTACTTTTCTGTGATCGTAATACCTGTTTTAATAACTTATTTTCAATAAAATTGTTTGTAATAAATATACAATTATACATGTGATACTCAAAATATTCATGGTAACAAACATTTGATTTCTTGATTTAAAAAATTTCAAGTTATAAAGATGGTCTTGAATTCAAGTGTTAAACGGAAGGTGAAATTTGATTTTGTATAGGTAACATAATCCTAATTTTATCAGTAGAACTTTTCTATTGTTACTGTTATTGTTCCATGCAATAATGATATATCATTATCATTCTTCCCTTTAACTGAAAACAATTATTAAAATTATTAAAATGGTTTCTATAACAGAAAGAAGTTTGCCTGAACTCTATTGGCTAGCTCTGAGGAAAGAAGGAAAAACAAAAAATTAAAATTTAAGGGGAAAAAATTAGTTGGTTGATCAAGAAAATAGAGTGCTTTTAGTGTTTTCTTACAAAAGGAATCATCAAAGATATATTAGGATTTTGATCAGTGCCACTCTACTTGTTCCATTCCTCTAGTGTAGGTGAGATGTAACTTAGTACTCTCTCTTGTCAATATCAAGTTGATTTATAAATATACATGATTAAATAAATATACTTATTCATTATGGTTGATCATTGTCACTGTCCATCAGGACCCGTATTATTGACTTTTCAACAAGGCATGTTATTGTATTTCATTGAGATTTGCATTTGGGCCTGATCATACTACATCAACATCCCAAAATCTCACATTAATGAATACTTAATATGAATTGACCATTTCATATATATAATATGTACAGAATAATTAAAATTATTGTTGACAAGTGTGGTTGCAATGATGACCATACCACGTATTATGAGAAGGGATAGATATCTGGATAAGAACTGTTATAGAATTCAGATGGTTTGCATCAGTTCAAACTAACCAGCTTCTATAATTTCTTGCATTTGCCAAATATATTCTTAGTTTTATTGAATAGTTAAATGCCAACATTGAAATAGTAAATATACAATATCAATATTGGAATTCTTTTGAAATCATTCATGATCATTTTGTGGACAAACCAAATTGTCATACATTTTACTACATTTACTTTTCAAAAATACCAAATATTTCTTTCCCAATATCTGTTGTTTACTGCTCCTTTTCCCCAATTCAAATAAAATGCTTACAAAAGAACATATGTCTGGTTCCAAAATGACTCATTTTGCAGGAACCAGACACCTGTTCCTTTGTCTGTTTGTTTTGTTTGTTATGGTAATGCAGCACTTAGCAATCTGCCTAGGAGGATGCCTTCTGGGAGGGCTTTTAAGGGTAACTGGCCCTATTTAGGTGTTAAAAATGTGGAGAAAACCCAGAAAACTTCACATGGCCAGCCTGTCCTGACGAGGCACAAACCCACAACTGAACTACCAGAGTTCAGAGAATGGAACCCCTTGGCTACTGGTGGGCCTTGTTCCTTTGTCAGCATTCAATCTGAATTAGGAAAAAGTATACAAGGAAAGAAAAGTACTATTAATAGATTCCAGATGTGTGAAATAATACATTGAAGACTGGGAAAGGAAAGAGAATAACGAGGGAAGATTGATTGATTGATGTTTGAGATGTGACTGAAGGATGAAATGCCAATTAGCATAGTGGTCCATAGACCACTGATGGTCTATGAGAAAATTTTGGTGATCCGTGGAGAAATTTTGACAATGATCAACTCACTATTACACGAAGTATTACGAAGATATGCAAAATGCTTGGATGCTTTTTCTCTCATTAGGGTTTTTTTATTTGAATCTAAAACCAGACACAAAATGAAGATTATCAATAAATAATAATGTCAATAAATCAATAAATAACATGAGTGCGATTGTCATCCTTTGTGGAAGACCCAAGAATCCATAAACTTATTTCAAACAAGCAGCAAAAAACTTCACATTAATTTGTTATAATTAAACAATTGAATTTCATATTAATAAAGTGAAATGGAACTTATGATCATTATTCTATACATGTTTGTATTATTAAAAAAAATTTATGATAGTGGTCTGTGGGATTCAAAATTGAATTTAGTGGTCTGTGAGGTCAGAAAGGTTGGTGACTGCTGAATTAGCAGACCAACCTGAAAACAATGTATCAGAAGTCATCTATTTCTTATAACTCATTTTCTGAGGTGGTTTACAAAAAGAATTTCTAAAACTGGCTACTTAGATTAGACCATATACAACTAAGCCTTGGCAAGTGCTTCATATACCAAATTGGAAGGGATGCTAAAAAGGCATCATGATGATTACAAAAATGTATGTAAGTTGGCACTATTTTTAGGCTTGCCTCAGATACCAAAATTATTTGGAACAATTCTATATACAATAATATTTGAGATATAGTGAGGTAATTAAAGACACAGCTACAATGTTGTAATTTGGACTTCTTTAGTAAATCAAGCAGGACTAACCAATGTTTTAGGTAAAGGAATTTTAATGTTTTAAGGGTAAGTTTAGGTTTTCTCTCTTTGATGGAACATTGCCAACTATTTCATAGACATTTTCTTTGGAAAATTTGTCTGAAGATAACGTAGGTGAATAGGAAATTCTTCTGATAGTATAACATTTCATTATTAATCTCAAAATATAAAGTTTATTTTCAGAGTAAAGAAACAATTTTGGAAGTTCTGATTATCTTCTTTCTTGGTTAATTTTCCTATATGACAATATTTTTGCATCCAGCAGTATTAGGTAAGTAAATCTAATTGCTTTATGCTACTTAATTTTTTGTTGTCACTTTCATTCTTCAATATATTATGAAATTTTTTATATTAGTATTAGCTAATAAATAGTATTGCTCATAAATTGAAAATTAGTATCAATAAATTCAAGTTAAGAATTATAATTCAAAACAGATTTAAAATTTATTGATTTTTATCACTAATAAAATGTGTTTTAAGAAAAACTGAATTATTAAAAATTACACATCTCATCCTCATAAATAAAATGACAACAGTTTCTATTGGATTTTTTAAACAAAAAAACAATTTTTAATTTGAATGAAGATCCAAATAAACAAAATATCAAGAGAAGATGAAATTTCTACTTTTATCACTGAACTTCCAACAATCTTTTCACTGCCTAATGCTTGATGAGAGAAACTTTTTATTAAACAGATGTTTTCAACCTATTATAATAGGTCAGGTCATCATCAGGTTTTTGAATTCAATAATAAATCATTACAAAAATAGAATATTTGAATTTACATTTAAACTTAAAATTCCAATTACAAATTTAAACTTGAACAAATAAAATACAGTAAGCTCCCAATTATCCATGTGTGGATTATCTGTGCATGAATTTAATTTTTAAAAAATAATTATGTGTGTGTGTGTATTTTTAAATAGTTGCTCGCTTTCATGTTTACGCATCCTACAAGTGTGTTCATATTTAGATGTTTGAAGCGGGTGGTGGTGGTATCTGAATTCAGCTGGACTGGCTTTAGTTAGGCTGCTTCTTTCGCATTGGACGTTTCTTTTCAGAGGAGAAAACGATAGTGAGTACATTTATACAAAGTTTCGTTTAGTTGCATGTTATAATACATATTACAATTTAAGATTTGATATAACTCTCCCACGAATACTTTTAGTGTAAAATTACATAAAATAAGATGTTTTTTTAATTTTCAGATAAGTATCTTTAAAATGCCTAATAATCGAAAGAAAGTTGTACTTACTATAAAACAAAAACTAATGTTAATTGAAAAATTTGAAAAAGGTGAATCTACATCAAATCTACATGTTGTATTTTAGAAATAAATAATTATAGTTCAGATTATCTGTGCCACCTCTTCCCACCATTAGCCCAGATAATCGTGAGTTTACTGTAAATATATAATGAACAAAATACAATTAACAAAAATAAAATTAAGTAGGTAAAACTTATAAGAAAATATAACAAAAATAAAAGTAAAACCAACGCTGATTACAGGGCCATATGACTTAAGGGTTTTTGTGTCTTAATTTTTTTTTCTATTGTGTATTTCCATGCCAAGGGAATTTGCATTCAGGCATTGATCATTAATTTTGCTCTTATATATTTCTATTTATTCCAAGTTCTTTACAAGAGATGGAGAGATTACTGCTTTCATAATGTTCACTTCATTCCACTTTACATTTGAGCCTTCTATTTGTAACATTGTTTCTAATATTGTGTTAGTAAGGCCTTTTTCAACATTATATTTATGTTCTTTGAGACATACTGTAAAATTTCTTTGTGTAATACCAACATAATCTTTTTTGACCCCTAATTGATGGAATCAAGATCAATGTCTTATTTATTACAAACTTGATGGCTTTAACATGCTGTGGCATTATCTTATATCAGTTCATTATTTGAAGAAAAAGAATTATTTCACCACATAATAGTTTCCTAATGACTGTTTTTAGCTTTTTCCTTCCTTTTCTTCCAGCAAATTTCATGGATATCCACAAAAATTTGCTAATCATTTTCAATATGAAACATGTATTAACACTCGTTGTTTAAATTCATAATCATACATATACATATTTTTTATACATATTTAAAGAAAAGGGTAGGTTTGCATTCTAATTAACTTTATATATTATTTAATCTAAATTAAAGCAAATATTAAGATGTAAATGCAAATTGGATTTCATCGATTGACTGGTGTCCCATTAACTGAAAAGTACCACAATAATTTTATATCCTTTTTAATTTAAACCTTAAAGTATTTTAAATAATTATGCTTAATATTAAATGAAAAAATGTGTGTGTAGGACCTATTTACATTTTAAGAAATAAAATTTATTTCATAATAATAAACATTTATTATGGATAATTTATATATTCTAACTGAATAATAATATCAGAATTTTGACAATTCATTTATTTCATCACTTAAATTATGTTTATTCTTTGAAATTTCATTTGTCACAATTTCTTCTAAATTTTCTGGAGTCGTCAGATACATCAGATAATTTAGAATAATCTGATTCAAAGTCATATATATCTGAACTGAGAAAATCAATATATTCTTCATTAGTTTCTGTTAGTATATTTTTTGAGATTCCTTTTATGTTATCCTCAAGTTTTACTGGAGATTCTTTTTCACTTTGCTTTTTAATATGATCATGAATATCTATTTTAGCATATTCTGATTTAATGTCTTTGGAATATTTTTGAGATAAATCATTATCTTGTTGCTTTATAGAAGTTTGGCTGAATTTATGCTTTTGATTATTGATTTCAACAACTGATTTGTCAACATTTGCAGATATTTCTTTTGATTTGAGTTCTGTTTTAGAAAGAAATTCCAAATTTGTCCCAGCTTCTTCTTGATGTATTATGGAATATTCAGAAAGCTTTTTATCTGTAAGACTTTTCATTGGAGATAGTTCTTCAGAAACAGAGCCATCATCATGATATTCTGCAACATTAGATGTAACTTGAGCATGGAATCTACGTATTTTCTGTGATTGAAGAAGAATTATTTTATCTCTAGTTTCAATGTCTTTTAATAGTTTCTTTTGATCTTTTTCAATCTTCAGAATTTGGTCTACTTTTTCTTTAACATCAGTAGTTTCTCCTGTACTGACACCAAATGCAAAGTCCAGTTTTCTCATATTATTTCTAGCAGCTAATAATTCTTTACGATTGCTATTGATTTCTTGTATCATATCTGAATGTTCCTAATATATAAATAAAAATTATGCTGAAATAATATAAGAGATATATACTTTTAACAATATACTGTATATATTCATCTTAAAAATAACAGGAAGAATAAATTCAAATATGCTATATTAATATTAATAATAATATATGGAGAACAAGATATTTTGTACAATTTTGTAGCCCATTGGGGCTACAAAAAAGCTGACAGAATGTATTATGCTTAGATTAGCAAGAGTAATATAGGTCAAACATTTTTAATAATCGTTTTCAGTTTTTCAAAAAATAAAGATTTGTTGTTGATCAGCCATTATCCATATATTTATTATTAACTTATCACAACATTAATATATCATTTTCTTGGTTATTTTATCTGTATATAGATTATATTCAAATTATACATGATTTGAATATAATCTACATATGAAAAAAGATATATAATGGTTTCTATCCAGTCATAAAACTATCCATAAATTAAAAATATCTGGCAACATATTGAAAATTTTAAATATTACAAATGAAATTTCAATAGAGAAAAGTATGTAAATTATTTAAAACACTATTAATTATTGATATCATTTTTAATGGTATTAGTTTATAGCAATCATCTTAACTCTTCGTTTAAAGATGATAAAGTGTGTGTTTGTATATCACTATTCTATCAAATGCTCATCTGTTTACAGATGCATAAAAAATGAATGGCTGCACCATACACAGTATAATTTTATCGACTTATATGCTGTTGTCAGCCACTCTTCAAATAATATTCAGTTTAAATAAAATTAACTCAGAATGAAATGCTTTGACAAATACACAAAAACTGTACATTCTTCCCCACACAATGTGGTAACCACTAGGCTGTGTGTGCATGTATTAGTTTTAATGGTTGACTAGTCTTTGCCCCTCCAGTTATTTATAGTTTCATGTGCATGCACACACATTCTAACATCCATACATACAGGAAGACAACCCCAAATTTTTTGCATTTCTTGACATTTCAAGGTCTTTTAAGTCCAACAATGTAAAATGTAAATCTTGGGGAGTCATTTTTTGACTGATTGCCATATTTTCCCTATAACAGCCATGAAAGTAAAAAATCTGCTTTACTGTTATATTTTTTATTTAAAATGTTCTTGTCTTTACATTCTCAAATATCTAACTTGAACATTCACACATATATATACAGACAAATACACGAATGTATAAATCAATATAAGAGCAGTTAATGTAGTTAATATTAATTAAACTCAGCATTAGATATTTAAAAACTAATCAAATTTTCTCTGAACAGTAAATTTTGCTGAATTTATTCTACGAATTTTATTAGTAATAGAAAAAAAAATATATATATATATATAATTTAAACTGTGTTATATGTGTTATGCTGTGTAAAAGAATCAGGTTAAAATATATTAATTTAACGTAAAAGATTTATTAAATGAACATAATGTGACAATCATAATGTAAGTAGTAAAAGTCTTTATTATTTATTGTGACATCATCACATTGCAAGACTGCAATTTTTAATCTTATTTTCGTTTAAACATAAATCGGTATCTCTGGTCCTTAAGCTTTCCATATCGTCCCAATTTTCATCTACCTAACTCTGTTTTCAAGATTAACAAAGGACAGACAGACAGACAGATGGCAGTGAGAATTGCAATTTGAAAATTTTATCCCAATAAATCAGCTTTAATTGAATATGCAATTGTTTGAGTTTAATAGTTATTTCTTATGTATAATTCAGTATTTCACTCAAAATATAACTCCACAATTCAAAAATAAAGGAAAAACTGTTTCAATATAGAAAATCTAATCAAACAAAACATTTATTTACTTTCAAGCTTAAAATAGTCTATCTTCAGAAACTCTAAAAAGACTCAATCACCATGCAAACAAAACATAGACATTTCAATGGTAAAGATGATTTTTAGAATTCCTGAAAATAGCTCAAAAGTACTCAAACATTTCATTCAGAGATTTTCTCTCTATTAAAGCAATTTTTACAAGTCATAATATATTATGACTTGTAAAAATTATGACATTATGACTTGTAATTTTAAGTAATTTTTTTATAGCAATTCTTTTTCCTAGTCCAAAATCTTAACCTCTGATGCACTAAATATTGAAATAATTATTAGCACAAGATTTTTCCTTAACATTTTAAAACATCTGTTTTTGTATTAGATATCAGAGTGAAATTTGTAAAGAGAAAATTACATATTCACAAACAATCATGCTTTAAATTAAAGTAATAAAGATTGATTAATGATTCTTTACATATTATAATAAAATATATAACAGAACCACATCAAAGAAAAATATTTTTAAATTTCTATTGCTGTAGTGAAATTGTATGTCAGAAAGTTGAAAAATTTTAATTAGTTAAATATTAATAATTTTCTTAAGAGCACGATTTGTTAAAATTTATCTTATTATACATAAACTATTTTACTATTTTTAATTTATATATGCATACATTAAAATCAAAAATATCAATTATATATGACAAATATATAGTTACTTGTATAAGCCTTTCATAATTCCTATGCTGAGTAGAAAGCTCTCTCTCCATCTTTTCTTTCAAAGCTGTCATGGTATCTTCTAAATATTCTATATGTCTTTGATATTCATCAATTTTCTCATCATCCATTTCAGCATTAATTACCTTTAATTTTAAAAATGAATATATTTTAAACAGTTATCCTTAAACAATCATAAAGCTATATAAATTATTGAAAATGTACTTCTGCTTTTTCAATATGTTGTCTGTAAAGATTGATTACACTTATTTTTAGTTTTGTTGGATTTTGAATGTTTGTCACTAATTTGCTCAAATCTTGTCTGTAACGAATTAATTTAACATAAACCTGTTGAGCCTGTAAAAAGAAATTTATTAAATTAATATATAATTGTTTTAGTCATTAATTATATATTGAGTTTCTTAACTTTTTAAGAAACTTTTACTGACTTTGTTTTGTTCTTTCATTCGTTCATTTTCAATGCCTTTCATTTGCAATCTTACAGACTTCAGTAAACATCTAAGGTTTTTATTACTTTGTTGAAATCTGACCAATTTTTCTTCCATCTGAATGTAAATAAATGCAAATGTAATATATTAAGATAATTAAGAATTGAGTTGAGTCATAAGTAATGTTACTTTTCCTAAGCATTATTTTCATACTAAGCATGACTTCTCTCAGTATTGTACCCAGGATCTGAACTAGAGGGGGATAACTTATAGTTTCTTTGAGTGCAAGAATAGCAGTGAACAGCAAAATAGGTCTAAGATTTCATGACAGATGGCTGTAGGCTCTAGTCTAGTCACAATATTCATTATTCAAACTGATATTAAATTGATACATCTGTGCTATGTGTCAATTACTACACTTCAATTTTTCTTCCAGGGGCAGCTGTCCCTCACTGGGTACACCCTTGACTTCTCTATTAAAGTTCTGTTTGAACCCATACTCATCCTGCATTGTAATTTTATAATAGTTCATTAAGTATTGTAATTTTGTATTTGTCTGTTTTTATTACATTGTTTACTCATGAAGATGTCTAATCATTATTTTATGTTTTTGGGTGTTACTTTTAGTTATAGTTACTTTCTTTTTGAGGGGTCTTTTTTTTTTAAGGACAGAAACTCCTAAACCCTCATTGTGCAAAAATTTAAAAAGGGAAACTGCAAAGGATGCTAATTTGTATCAGTGACTGATCCCGTGATGCGAACAAATGTAAATAGGGCAGTGCAGAGCTACATACAGAACCAGATAAAATGACGATACGTCTATTCAGCCATGTGGTGCAGCTCCCAACAGCAATCAGAGTGGGAAATATCTACTTTGAGTATTCTTTTTTGTGGGTGGAGATTTGAATTGATGAACTGAATTGATTTAACTTTATTTAATTTGATTTGTATCTAATTGTAGAATTTATTTAATTATTTATTTTATTTTTGGATTTTCAAATATTTGAAATGTATCCTAACATTTGTTATAATTAACCATTGTTTCTAATTACTTTCACTATTGATCAATTGAATAAATATTTTATTGTAAATTTATACTTATATGTGGTTTTTTTTTTGTTCCCATAAAGTCCAGGCCTGGTACTTGAACCCTAACTTGCATCATGTGGTACATTACAATGTAGTAATGTTTTAATTGTTGTGGATTGTATTATACTGTTAAAAATTCTGTGATTATAGAAGAATTGAAATTGAGACCTGCAAAATTGTAATGTTTTATAATTTTATCATCCATTATTATCTACATTTGCATGATTTGAGAGAAAAAATACACTTAACACTGAAGAGGATTGTTAATTAAATTAATTAAACTTCAATTCAAAATGCATGTCATGTTCTTTTCTGAAAAGAAAAAGTAAAGATATTTGATCAGTTGTAACTGGATTTTTTGAATAACCAGAGAAACCTCACAAGCATGTTGAATTCAGCTTATAGAGGATATTACACACAATAAGCATGACTTGTCTAATACACCAATCAGCTCAAGTTCAAATTTGTCAATTGGATAACAATTTAAATAACAATTTCTATGATGATTCAAGATTATTTTATTTTAAAAGTTAAGTTATTAGCATCAATCAAAATAAGTTCTTGGAAATATATTTAAGGCATGTAATGCTATTTGGATTCAGAAAAAATAATACTGCATTTATGGCAGCAAACAATATATGTAGTGTGTAAGGCAGTGAAGTCTTAAATGTCAGAAAATATCAGCGTTGATTCAAAACATTTAAGGATGGTAATTTTAATCTTGAAGATGAGTCTTGCTCTGGATAATCTTCTGACTTGGAATGCTGAAATTACTATGGAAGTGAAAGATAATCCAAAATTATCTATACAAATTGCAGAAAACTTAGTATGTCTCAGGCAACAGCAGTTAGGCAATTACACCACTTAGTCACTATATCCCACATGACATTACTGAACAGAATCTTCTGGATCAATTATCCATATGAGTTTACTTAATTGGCAAGAGCAAAGTTCATTACTGGACAGAATAATAACTGGAAAAAAAGTGAATATTATATGCTGATGTTATTTACAGAAAACAGTGGTTGGATCTAAATGCTACAGTTCAGAACCAAAGTGTAATCTTGATCCTCAAAAGGTGTTTGTGTATGGTGGGCTATGGGCATACTGCATTTTGAGTTGTTTAATCCAAATGAAACATGACTACTACTTTATACTGCTAACAATTGGGAAAAAAAATTGTCAAATGTGAAATTTTTCTTAGAGTTTTTCACAAACAGGAATGGCGTTATTTTGTTATATGATAGTGTTTAATTCCATATTGCAATAACAACCAAACAAAATGTAAGAGCTTAATTTGAAATTTCTCCCTCATCCTCCTTATAGCCTGATCTAGCATGTATAGATTAAACATCTCTCCTGATGCTTTCAAAACACTCTTAATGGATAAAATTTTAGTTCAAAAGAAGTTATCCAGATGTACATGGAAATTTTTTTAATCAAAATCAGACTGTTTTTATAAAAAAGGCATTTAAAAACTTTTAGATCAATGGAAAAATGTCACACCTAATGAAAAGCATTATATATTGAATTAAATAAATATTTTTTACGTTAATAATGTCTATTAAAAATTATAAAAATGACATTATTTATGACTCAACTCAATATTAAAAAAAATCATCTCAAATACAAACCTCTCTTAATTCAATATTTTTTGTTTTCATTTTAATTATTATAAACTTAAATTTACTAACTTACATCTTTCATTTGATTACGTAATCTATTATTTTCCTCTTGGATTGGACCCAATTTACTTTCATTTTCTTGTGTATTAGAACTTAACATAAAATTTAACTTCTCTAACTGTTGTTTATGTTTTCTTAGATCATGTGTACATTTCTCCTATAAAGGAAATTAATAATATACAATAGTTTAAACATTAGATTTATTAATACTGGTATTACATAAATTCAATGATACCTTTTCTAAAATTGTCTCTTCTCGTTCTTTGATAACTCTTTTTAAATTTTCAATTGAACGACCAAGATTTTTAATGTGTACTTTTAACATTTCTTCTTCTTTATTTTTGTTTTCTATTTGTTTCTGATTTTTCTGAATATCATCTTTCAGAGCTGCAATCTATTATTTTATAATTTTAAAACAATAAATATATATTAATGTAAACACTTTATATATGATGATTTTAATTAATATTCATATTATTACTTTTCCTTTCATCATGTCAATTTCTCCGTTAAGATGACTGTTTTGATTCCTTTCATTTTGTAGTTCTTCTTCGTATGATACCTTAATGACCAAAATTTCATTATCAGCATCTCTTTCCATTGAAATTCTCATTTCTTCCATGTTATGTTTAGTATTTTCATGATCCACAATAGCCTAATAAAAATTGTACCTGCATTTAGTTATGTTTTGAATTTATTTTAAATATTTTGAATTCAATATTTTACTTTGTTTAATTTATCTTGTAATTCTTTTAAGTGCTCTTCATATGATGTTTTCAGGATAGCTAATTGTTCTTCATGCTCTTTTTTTAATTCTTTCAGCTTTGTTTCATAATCAGCTTGCATAAGATCTTTATCACTTTTTAATTTTTCATAAGAATTGTATTCTCTCTTTAGTTTCTTTCTAAATTGCTGATCTAAAGGTTAAAAAGGTATTATATTTAAATTTTTATGCTATGTAGACTGTTTTATATGTACACAATATATATTTAGTTGATAAGTTATGGATTTAACTAATTTGATATTTATGCATATATGGATTTTGTTGCAATTGAACTTTGTTTTATTAACAGTTATGGGGGTTTTTGCCAATAGTCATGCACATTGTTACCATTAAATTATATAATACAAATAAAATTTTATAAATTTAAAAAAGTTAACCAAAAGTCATATTAGTGTTTATGCCAGGTTCTGTCATCATAAGAGGACTAGAATAAGAATGTACAGTTGAATTCCTTATTTACACTTTTCAGAGTAAAGTGTAAATAATTAAGTTAAGAGAATATGTATAATGCATTTTATTTTTACTCAACATACTTTTTTTGATCCCTGTGGATACTAAGAGAGCCTTTTTCACAAACCCATTTGGTTTCAGCCAGACCCAAAATGGCTTAGCAGGATGGTGAGGGACAGAGCCCAACATATCCAGAGGTACCACCATTGAAAAATTCCTAGGGTTTTCTCAACCCATTCAGATTTGATCCCAGGTCAGGAGATCAGTGGGCTGCCACCTTAAGCAGTCACCCATCTGCCCATTAACTCAAGATACCTTATACTGTACTGTACTTTTAACACTGGGTAAAGTTTTGTGAGTTAGAGAAATAATTAAATTTTCAAAAACAGTATTAAAAAGTATTAAATCTTTTGAAGGAAGACAAAAACATCAAAGCACACAAATGCATGGGTAAATACCACTAAAACTAAAAAATAGCAGATTTGCAACAGTAGTATCACCTACACTGTTGAAAATTTATTTATTTAATTAGTTATAATTTTTATTTTTGAAAATATCATTTTAAAAATTACAGATTTACCAATAAAGATGTGTAAATTGCAGGAAATGTAGAAAAACTGAATTGTAGAAAAACTGAAATTACAGTTTATGAGAAAATTTATTTATAAACTGTAAGGAAAAAATCAGGACCAGAAAAATATGATGTAAATTGTGGAAAGCATTAATTCCAGGTATAAGTATATATCAAATTTTATTTTAATACTTTATATTAGAAAAGATTAAGTTTTTAAAATACTTTTGTTGGAAGATATTAAAAACAGTTATTAAAAAATATTAGATCATTATCTATCTTACTCTTCAGTAACTTCTATTCCTATTTTGACAGCAATGACATAATATGATACAAACAATGGCAATGATGAAATATTCTTAAAGCCAAGATGATAAAATAGATGTTCAAAACTCCAGAAAATATAAACAGAGATCATGTAAAATAATGACAAATTTCAGTATTCTCCCCAGGAACATAGTTTGTAATTTACCTGCAATGTTAGCTAGTTGCTGCTACAAATTTACTTACAAACTTTGAGTATTGTTTTATTGTCATTAACTACACTAACACTTGTTAACCAAATTACAGACCACAGGTACCTTGAAAAAAAAAAAACAATACTAATAATAATAAATATGAAATGAAATTAAAAAAATATATATTTTTATCTAATTGGTTGAAATATTTAGCTGCCAAATCTACCAACTAAAACTATAAAACTAGCATGAAGAGAAACTGATATTTTCAGTATTCATAGCCATTTTTAGCATGCTGTTAAATTGGATAGTCACTAGGAAAAGGAAATACAGATCTGTTAAACTATACAATAATTTTTATCATAAACAAAGTACTACAATTTGTTTGTCATCTTAATCTCCAGCTGTAATTTTTTTTAAATAAATTATTTTATTAAGTTGTTGTTAAAAGATGATCCTATAATAATTTAAAAGTTTATGATGTCTATATCTAATTATTAAATATCATTTAAAGTATGTTAAAATTATATATTCCTGATATTTTAAAAATAAAGTTATAAAACTTTCTCGTTTAAAAAAGTGAAAAACTGCAATGGACTTTTTAAATAGTTTTAGACTGCTTTTCACAAAACATTTAATATTTCTGTATTTATTTTATGAATAAAAATTATTCATAATGCAAATTTATATTATACAAATTTATAAAACTATTAAATTAATATGTCTAATGATCAGACATAAATATTTTAAAAGATTATTGAGCTATGATATGACTTCAGTTTAACAGAACACCAATAAAAGTATAGACAAATTAGAACTACTACTAGATAAAAAAAAAATAGTATTTTTGTCTTGTGTGTGTGTGTGTAATAAAAACCATAATAATATGACTTCCATATTTCTCTTAGCATTTAGCTAAATAATATACAGTACTAAAATTACCATAACTGCTAAATTACTATATTGTTATCAACAGGTGTTCTATATCAGGGGTTCCAATCTTTTTTGCTTGTCAACCCCTTTCTAAAATTATGTTTCATTCTTTGTATACTGCTACAAAATAAGAATAAATTACAAATAGGAAATAAAAATTAAATAGGAATTGGCATATTTTGTTTTTATTAAACATAAATCAGAATTTAAACTATCTTTTACATTATTAAAATTTAAACATGTATAAAAGATTAATTCCCTAAATTATGCTTCTTACATATGTCGAATTGTGTAAATAATTCAATAAAATGTAGAACTTGAAACTAAAAGTTAATATAATCCCTTATTAAAATTTAAACATGTTTAAAAGATTAATTCCCTAAATTATGCTTCTTACATATGTCGAATTGTGTAAATAATTCAATAAAATGTAGAACTTGAAACAAATTGTTGTAATTAGAGGAAAGTGAATAAAGAAAAGATAAGATCAGATTAAGATTAGATCAATTCATTGTTATCTGCTATCTCTTCAATAAATTGATATATAAATTCGAAATGTTTAATTAAAATCATAAAAACATTTATAATATATTCAAAATTCTGTAATTAAGTTTATGTTTACATANTTTTACATTTTTAAATGTAATAATAATAAATTTGCCTACTGATCCCTAAATGCCCTCTAGCAATTTATTACTCCTGATAAATTGTTTCTCCAGGGTCAATAACAGCGATGTTAGTAGTCTCTGTTCTAATCATTCCTTTTAATTAACATTGATAGCCGCTGTTACATTAATTGTTATAGGAATAATAATTTAATTTAATAAAATGTTAGGAAAAACATTTTGTTTCATTTGTCAATATTTCAAAATTACTGTTTTAATAGTAAAATGAAAACACCTCTGAAGTGAACTGTACATTTGTTTCAAATGCATTTCTGACAGCAATATTAGTGATTGTCAGGTTTAATAGGATTTGTTATTTAAAAAAGAACATCTTAACAAACTGATTTATGGCATTTCACTTAACTAAATTAAAATAAATAAGTATTTCAAAAAACTTTTTGAAAACAAGTAAGTCACTTTGTTATATATTTTACATATTTTGACTTCAGATGTTATGTTTAGTTTTATTTAAAGATAAGAACGGTTAAATGTTAATAAAATGGATATTTTAAAGTGTTTTTTTTTTTTTTTTTGCTGAGATATCTTGTTAGTAATAATTAAAAATGTTTTAAAAGCACTTTCAAATTTTATTTGTTATACTATTTCTTGGTATTTTGATTTTTTTCCCAGCTTCTAAGTTTCTGTATTATATTGTTAAATAAATAATTTTAATTTTGTCTAAATCTAAAATAATATGTATCATCCACTTATTTTTCAAATTTTATATGAATAAATTGCATTGGTCACACATTTTTACTAGAGGCTCTGTGCTGGTTGTTGTCAATGGTCCAACCCATTTTGTCATGCATTTTATGGTAATTTCTTGCATAAACAATATTAGTTTGGCATATATTGATTAAATAACTGTAAATAAATAATATTTTTTAAAATTTAATAAAGAATAATCAATGGTAAGACAAAAAAAAAAGTAATGAAAATTTAAAGTATTAACTTTTATGTACACTTAATAAAGTTATACTTGTTTCTTCTGATTCTATGTCACGACTTGGTGCATTTATAGACACTTGGCAAATAATTCCATCACCTACATTTACTTCTTACATTTACTTTCTTACTTCTGTAAGAAGTAAATGTAGGTGATGGAATTATTTGCCAAGTGTCTATAAATGCACCAAGTCGTGACATAGAATCAGAAGAAACAAGAAAAAGAAGACACGGTTTTGACAAATAACTAAAAAAAAGTTATACTTTTTAAAAAGATAGACAGATGCATTTGAATTAATCAATTATGTAATTGATTATCATGGTATGGTAACATCACATGGACATTGTGACTTTCCTTGACACATTGAGAGTTGAATTTTAATACATAATACAGACTAAAATATTTGACTTTTTTGAGATTTAAAATTTTCTTTTACTACTAAATTTTCTCTTTCAACTGTATGAATTTGTTTTTCTGTAAGAAGTCTGCTTCTAATTGAATATTTTGTCAGTGAGGCCAATGTGGCATTATAATACTAGATATTCTAAGTACTGGTAATTTAGTATAATAAACAAAAACGTTAATTTATTGAATAGATGTTTTTGTTTGGATTTAATTTAAGATGTAAAAAAAATTGTACCAAGTAAAACAAATATGACAATTTGGATGACAGTCAAACTTTTTTCTTAGGAGTTTTTGGTAAAGATAATCTTGATGATTCAAAGTAAAATGTAAAAAAACATTAATACAGGTAAAAATCTTGTGGGTACTGCTTTGAAATGTCAATCTTATCTTTGTCAAAGAAAAAATTTGAGTCAGCTAAATTGTCACTTTTTACTTGGTGCAAATTTTTTACATCTCAGATGTTTTTGTTTGGATATCAATGTTTTTTTATTAATGATTGTGATCAAGACCTAAGACAATGACATATTGTACAGTATTGTCAGTGCTTGGCAATGTGATGGCCATCAACCAAATGCTTTTAATATCGCATTAGTAAAATTGTTATAAAAAGTTTTAATTTGCATAAATTTGAGCTTTTTAAAAAAACTTTTACGATATAAGCGTTAAATTAAACACATATGTCACTAAATTGACGAGCGCTTTCGACGATACACACTTTCGTCTTCTTCAGGTCATTAGAAGATATAAGAACCTTTTTTGAATACAAATTTTTTTTTTTTTTTTTTCTGAAGATAGATTATTTTAGTAGAGATAATTTAGTAGAAGATAGAGTTTCTGAAGATAGACTATTTTAAGCTTGAAAGTAAATAAATGTTTTGTTTGATTAGATTTTCTATATTGAAACAGTTTTTCCTTTATTTTTGAATTGTGGAGTTATATTTTGAGTGAAATACTGAATTATACATAAGAAATAACTATTAAACTCAAACAATTGCATATTCAATTAAAGCTGATTTATTGGGATAAAATTTTCAAATTGCAATTCTCACTGCCATCTGTCTGTCTGTCTGTCCTTTGTTAATCTTGAAAACAGAGTTAGGTAGATGAAAATTGGGACGATATGGAAAGCTTAAGGACCAGAGATACCGATTTATGTTTAAACGAAAATAAGATTAAAAATTGCAGTCTTGCAATGTGATGATGTCACAATAAATAATAAAGACTTTTACTACTTACATTATGATTGTCACATTATGTTCATTTAATAAATCTTTTACGTTAAATTAATATATTTTAACCTGATTCTTTTACACAGCATAACACATATAACACAGTTTAAATTATATATATATATATATTTTTTTTTCTATTACTAATAAAATTCGTAGAATAAATTCAGCAAAATTTACTGTTCAGAGAAAATTTGATTAGTTTTTAAATATCTAATGCTGAGTTTAATTAATATTAACTACATTAACTGCTCTTATATTGATTTATACATTCGTGTATTTGTCTGTATATATATGTGTGAATGTTCAAGTTAGATATTTGAGAATGTAAAGACAAGANTTTTTTTTTTTTGAAGCATCTCCAGTGCTAGACAAAGATGAAGAAAATACAGCTTTTTTTGACAATTTTGCTCTTTTCATTGCTTATGTTTTGGAAACCCCTTTAAAGAAAAGCCTGAAATTTTTCATACTACCTAAGAAAACAAATATCTTTTGAATGATATATTCAGAATTACTGTAGGCATTTGTAGGCAGAGAAACTGACCCCCAAACAATTGGCAACTCTAATTCCTGCATATACAGTCAGTCAGGTTTTTTTTTTCACTTGGAGTTACTGCTGTGACTCTGGATAAAAAGAAGTAAGACAGCGAAACCATTTTTGAGATGACACTGTCTTGGAGAGTGCGAGCAATGCATGTGCAAATCTCGCACTCATACCTGTTTGTAGAAACAGCTTCGGCATTTTGCATTTTCTTTTGACCCAGTTCTCAGTTCCCTGACTACCCTACAAGTCTGGTTTATTTTATGTGTGCATGATTTGGGCACCAAATACTCTGTGCCAAATTGCAACTCCTGACATGTACTCCTTCATACCTCTAAGGTGTGCAGCCGTTGACAGCATCATGATTTTAGAGACAAGACGTATCTTCTCAACAATGATTAAATATAATTATGAATCCTCAGCCATATTATTTACTATATATTGAAGTAAGTGAAACTGATCTACTGTTTTATTTACCATATTTTTTCCATGTGTCATTAAAATATTCTTTCTCACAATGTTTTGTTGTTTCTTAGTATTTGCATGACCCCATTTAATGTTTTTCATGTATTTTATAAATCAAATCTATAAATAAAATGTAAAATTACGAAAAAATTATATTTTTCTTTCCTTTCTGACTTTTGGATAATATAAAACTTCAATTTTTCAAAAAAAAAACAAGCCAATAATGACTATAAAATCTTTAAAAAACAGAGTTTAAAAAGGTATAAAAAAGAAAATAATCTGCAGAGAGAAAAAAATTTTTATTTACATCATTACTAACAAGCTTCCCAAATGCATTTCGCCTATGGCCTCTTCAGTGGGGCTTACAGCACAAAATCTACGTTCAAACAGTCAACTCATTGAAGAGCCACTTATACAGTTAACAAAAAACTCCCAGCATGCCGCTGTTAACATTCCGGTATTTAAATTAACATTATTGTTTTGCATAATTATAGCGAAGTGTTCTTTTACCTTTCGCTTTACAATATTTTTTTCCTTAAAAATTATTTTTAATTTATTAATATTAATCTGACAATTATTACTATTACAATGTTGGAAGACAGGAGAATTACTCATTTTCAACCTTACGGCAGCCAAATGTTCCGACAGTCTGATCCTTAATCTTCGTTTTGTTTCACCGACGTAAAAACTAGGATTGTTNTACACTAATTTAAACTAAATAAACTGTGCAATGGTGTGGTATGAAAGTTGTGGTATGAAAGTTGCAGAGTTAGGATGGGCATGGTTCCTGAATGAACAACTGATCATATTCATTATCACTGTCATGAGAACTCAATCTAAAAAATCAGTGTTCTAAACTATGTTATCTTGTAAACTGTTGAATGTGCTTGAAATGCCACACTTCTGAAAGCTTTTCACTACCAACTCTGAAAAAATTCATGCCCAGGCAGTCAATTCACTAACAGATCATTTCACTTTCTAACTTATTTATCTCTCCGGAAGGTGCAAACAAATGTTTAGCCTCTGCCATTTACTGATACTGATCTTTCAGAGTAAACTTAAATGTCTTATTAATGGAAACATCTAGGGATTGTAGTACAGATGTTAGGTCTTCAGTGATGATCACTTGATTGGTGTTCTGGCACTGCAAAGATTTTCTTTCACTTCATCATTGTATGTTCACAAAAATTATAAAGAATTGGCATGCTGTTTGTATTCACTACTGTGCAGATCAATTTTCTGGCTTCATGTTTTGCATCATCCAATTTTTTTTGAATAAACAGCACATACCAACTTTTTGTCACAATTCTGTGAAATTCTGGAAGTGAACTGGGACAGCACTTTTAAGTAAAATTTGCTTAATTAGATATAAAAAAAAGTATTATTTTGTAAAACCAATAAAAGAAGAAATATAAAAATTTATGTCCATAAAAGAACATGTTTAAAAATAATTCTTAGAAAAATGAACTTCTTGAATTAACACAATAGAATGATGTAAGTTCTAAGATCAACCATCTTCAATTGGGATCAAATTGACAACTGATGTAGACTCAACCCACAATTTGAGTTCCAATCTCATTACATTTAGTAACGAGTGAAAATAATTGGAAAGCAGAGGTGAGTCAGATCGAGCAATCGAAATGATCGATCTGGGATCCAAAAAAGTTTATAAAAATGACCAATTTAAGGACATGGAGAGCTTCTCTCTCTTGCTTCCAATTGTGCCACACCTTCCTTGGAAGAATTATTTTTTCACTCCAAATCAAAACAGGACTCCTCTTTGGACTTCCTATAACCATGCCCCAGGGCTTTCAACTCCTAAAGGAACATTCAGGGACCTTTCTCTAAGGACTTTTGCTCTCAGTTAGAAAAAGGGAACCTGAAGATTTAAACTCCAATGACAGATTGAAGAATACTTTTGTTTTAAGCTATATTTTGAGTTACAATAAATTGGAAAAATTGTTATGTAATTGGAGAGTTGTCTCTGTCATCAACATTCCCACAGGCACAGTTCGGTGACCTCACAATTCTTTGGAAAAAGTGTTTGGATGTATTTGAGTGTGTGTGTGTGTGTGTGTATAAATGTATGAAGAGAAAAAATAGTTCTGTCTTCAGATTATTCAGATTAATTATTCATTGAAAATACTATTTGGAATATATACTAGAAAATTATTGAATTTGTTTAGACTGTTATATCATAATTTATTTGGGAAATAAAAGTGCAAACATTGAATAACTTCAAGAATAGAAAAAAACAACAAAACATATGTAGTGTCCAATGCCACTTGATAAATTTTTTAAAAATTTTCAAATAGTAGATAAGAGTCACCATAGTAAATTCAAAGACAAGAAAATGGTGGTGGAATGATACACAATCGGTCAGATGCATTCTAAATGTGGAATAGACTATAATCTTCTTCATATGTACAGTACATTAATATTGAAAAAATATAAATACCTCTTTCATTTATTTCAGCTAAATGTTTCATTTGGAGATCTCCTATATCATCTTTATGTTTTGTTGTAAGAGCTGTATTCTGAGATTTCAAGTCCTATGGTTGAGTTTTTACAGTATGATTAATAAAAAAAAATATTTTGTCTAATTTTTTTCTATCATAATAGCTTAATATACTTCTAATTTGGAGACCAATTCTTCTATTTCTTTGGTATATTTTTCAGCTTGTTCTCGATACATTTGGATATGATAACTTTGTTTTATATATATTTGATATTCATTGGTTCTCTGTACATCACTTAACTGTCTTTCCAAATGTGCAATTGATTCCATCTGAAAATAAACTGTTTAATATATAAAGTAATGAATTTTGACTAAATATATGAACTGGTACAGTACCTTTAATTTCAGATCATCTATCTTCATAATTACATCACCACTTAGAAAATGTTGTTCTTCTGTTAATATTCTATCATCTCGATCACATAATTTCCATATAAAGATAGAACCTTCTTCACTAGATGTGATTAACCACAAATCATCATTAGTCAGTTTAACCTATATGAATTATTTAAAGATTATCACCATAAGATTAAAAAAATCTTATTTCCTACATTATAAAATACTTAATGAATTAAGGAATTTACTTGAGTGATTTTACTGTTATGTGCAACATATTTGTCCCATCTGAAATTTTCTGTTAATGGATATCTCAAAGCTTGAACATATCCTTTTTCTGTGCCCCCAAACAATATATTATTTTTGCCAGACAAAGTTAAATCTGTCAGCTGAGTTTTGGTGTCAAGTGAATGTATCATCTGGAAAAATTAAAATATTTTGATCAGTTTAAATATTTTTTTTTTACTCTTTTCACTCTGAGGTCCTTCTTTTCATGCCCACTGGGTTCAAACGAGGCCCACAATGGAGCAGCATATGGTGAGGGATAGGACATAACATATCCAGAACAGAGTACCCCTGAAAAATTCCTGAGATTTTTCAATTACCCAGATTTGATCCCAGATCCCCAGAGCAATAGGCTGACACTTTATCGCTTCAGCCATCTGGCCAACTGAAATTTAAATATTTGTTACATTAGACATTTAAAATTTCTTACTATTGAATTTGCAATTTCTTTGATAGTTTGATCATTTCCTATTACATATCCAGTACCACCACTTGGATCAGCAGTTACACTTAAATATGAACATTTTTTCCAAACATTTTCATTTTCTCTAACACCACTGAATATATTCCATTCATACAGAGCTCCATCTTCACTACAAGAAAATAACATGCAATCTTCTTTGCACCATGCTATTGCAGTTATCTTTAAAAAATATAATTATTGAAATTAAATAAATTTATAAATTTATCAAGCAATAAATTTATATTTTTTTAAATATATTAACTTTTAACTATATTTGCTTAATAACAAAATTAAAGCCAATACATCATTCTGATCTATAGGGTTTATTTTTTGAGAAGATATAAGATTAAATAAGATCAAATTAAAAAGAATTCTCTATATAAGTGTAAAACATTTTGCATTGTTTTCAAGATTAACATACCTCATTTTGATCCTTGATGTAATATGGTCAAGTTTATAAAATTAATCTGTGTAAATAAATAACACAGATAGTCCCTGACTTATAGTGGAATTTCATATCAGGAGATCCACTGTAAAGTTGAATTGGTATTAAGTCAAACACAAAAAACATAATGGTGATAATGTGTATGGTTCAAGGCCACATATTAGTCTATATACTATATATATACTTATATTTTTTCTCAGCAAGTCATTTCTTACTAATGAGTACATAATATCACTTACTGTTTGTATATATACTGTAATACAATACAACAACATTGTTTAGGTGCCTGACAAAGATTTACAAAAAGACAGTTAGTCAATCACATTCAAAGGGGACAAAAAAACTATACTGAGATTATCTTCATCATCATATGGAATTTATTTGATGTTTATTGTTATATTTATTTAATTTATTATTAATTCACTTTATTCTTATTATAAAACTGAAATTAGAAAGTTGGTGATGATGGTGGATGTTAGTAAATTCTGTATATGGCTTTCTATATGGTAAAAATAAAGTACTATTGAACCTAAAACCAGGATAATTTTATTATGATTTTATTTTATAAATGCATTTTGGATGAGCATTTCCATGCTGTCCCTCTTTAGCTATAAATAAAATCAAAGTTAAAACACATAATACATAATTAGAGTATTTTGCTGTATCTTTCTCTTATATCTATATAGTATAGTCCCCCCTTGATGGAAAGATGGAAATATGATTGTTGTCTTTAATCTGACTTGATCTAAGCTCTAATGCTAGTTTATCTAAACTCATGTTTGAAAAAATTGCAACACCATGATGGAATCATCAGAAATGAATGAAATTTATTTCATGTGTAACCTGTAGTGATACAAAGAAATGATTAGATTTGCAGAGCAATCAAACAATATTACATGGCAAAAATCAGTATTTGGTGAAGCTGCCATGAACTGCAATAAGAGCATTTATAAGTTGTGGCATTGAATCAAACAGATTTTGAATGTCTACTTGGAGAATAGCATTCTAGAGTGCTTCTATCCAAACCTAAAGTTCTTCCATATTAGCTGTGGGACAAGCATCAACAGCAAGTTTTAGATGCATGAATAGGCAGGTCAAGGAAGAAGCTATATCTGTCGTGCTGAAAAGAAGTCTAGAACATTCCTAGCAATATGTGGACAGGCATTGTTCTGTTGAAATACAGCTCCAGGAATGCATTGAAGAAAGGGTACAACTTTGGACTCCATCATTTCCCTGATGTAATGGTTGCTGTTGAAAGTACCCACAAATCTGAGCAGCCGAGATCACCCATGATATCCAATAGTGCTCTAGACCAAGGGTGGCCAACAAGTCAATCATGAAGCCAATTTTGGTTGATTGCTCACAATGTCTTGACTTAATATGTTACACTTGTAACCAAACACAATGCATGAACATAACACGCAAATGTAACTGTAGTGATATCGGACCTCCGCATCTGAGAGAGGATGCGGTTTTGTCGGTCCATGTGCAATTCATTTGCATACAGTTGTAAAAGGGAATAAGAAATGTAGACAAACGGTCGTAAAACCAAAAAAAGAAAGGTGGGAAGAGTGACAGAGAGAGTAGGTTGGACACAGTAGAGAGAGGAAGGGTGATGTGGTGGTCCCCGAAAATGACAACATTGAGTTTCAATTTTTCTTATGTTTAAAATGTAAGTACCTTTTCTTCATGTTTTAAATTAAATTGTGGCTTTTCTTACCAATCTAAACATAGTATGTATTTCACACATACCCCTCGCCACTTAAACTATGCCTACAACAACAAGTCGATTGTGACACATTTTTAAGATAAAAAGTAGATCTTATGTACACAAAAGTTGGCCACCCCTGCTTTAGACTATCATGCTTTGCAATTGTTCAGTAAGATGCTGGACTGTGGAAGATGGCATTCACCTCTGTTGTGTCTAATGCACACTTGACCATCATTGTATTCTAAATTGAAGTGGGGTTCATCAGAAAAAGATGTTTAGTTGCCAATCAGCACACCAGTGTCTGTGTTGATGAGCCCATTGTAGCACAGGTGTCAATGATTTTGCATCAGGGGAATCCTGTGCAAAGGAATGCTTGCATGCAATCCATGGTGCAGCGAACATCAGCAAACTATGGATGCAGACAATAGCACACCTGTAGCAATGCTCCAATGCCAACTGTCAAGATGAAGCTGTACAATCTGCAATTGTCATACAGATGAAGTGTGTGTTGTCCAGTGCTGATGGAACATTTCATTGTCCACTGCCAGATTTGTGACTCATTTGGTACTCTTCAACTCACTGTTTCCACTGTTGTGGCATTATGTCCCATACAAGTTGCAATTTCACAATAATAAAATCCCCCTTTACACAGGTCAATCACTCACCCCATTCAAACTTTATTATCTGCTCATATGGTTCCCTTTGTCATCAACAAGGCATAGTGACTTCTCATGAAATGTTTACCAGTGGCAGACAATGATACACTACTTCTAACTTTCCTCTACCATCCTCTATTTATACAAGTGCATCTTACAAGGAGACCTTAAGGGGTGTCCATCACAGATCCAAATAATATTGTTTGTGGATAAGTCTCAATATCAACCTTTATTAAGCAAAGGGAGAAAGTGCACTTCTCAAGCATTTTGGAGAAAATCAACATTAAACATCCTCAATGATTTATAAGCAAGTTTTATGAGCTTTGTTTATTGAATGTTTTGTGGCTTGGTGCTATTGTTTCTTTTTCATGTTCACAAAGTTGAGGGATCGAATCATGGCGACAGAATATTTTTGATTTCCTCTCTGATCCCAGTCCCCAATTGATTCGGATAAACAACGCTCTACTGTACTAATTTTTCTCATTATCTATCCTGAAGATTGCTAAACTCTAAAATAAAATTAACTTCTTTATCTGATATTTCATAAAAATTAGTTTGTGTAAATATGTGGATGAATAATGAGACTCATTATAAATACAGTGGGTGATTGGTTAACGAACATAATCCGTTCCAAGACTTTGTTTGCTATCCGAATTGTTCGTTAACCGATTATCGATTTTCCATAGGTTTTAATGGGAATTTAATTAATTCTTTCTGGAGACCCTCAAAAATAAAAAATATATACTTTCTTACTACGTTTATTTATATGTAATCATAAAAATACATACATAAACAGTCTTGCATTTTTATTAGTCATGTTTTTTCTGTTTGAAAGGGTTAAAAAGTCTGTCTAATGTTGATTGATTTTCTCTCTTCTTCAGGATTTTTAGTAAGTAATTAATAGCATTGCAATTGTAGAAATCCCCAAGCCTCAACCTGGTTTGGATGCCATTCTAAGACCATTGTCCTGACATCCTCCCTCTTCTTCAAAGGATCTTTAATAACAGATATCGGCATTAAACCTCTTTTTCAGAAGAAAACATATCTCATCAAGTTTCTTCGTGTTCTTCATTCAAGAGTTCTTGGCGTTCTGTCGTCAGATCTGTTTCAGGTTCCATTATGAACTCTTTAATGTTCTTTATTTCTCAGATGTGATTTTTGTTACTCCTTTAGCTGCTTGGGTCTTCTTGATTATACAGTATTTTTCTTGATTGAACTGTTGTCTACTGTAGACCTGTTCATGCCATACTGCCCAGAAACATTAGGCATCTTCTGCCCACTCTTTACCTTTGCTATTATACTCTCACGTTTTGAAAAGAAAAACAGACACAAAATTTAACGTGTGCCTACCAACAGTTTTGCAAATACATAAAAGAATTGTTTTGTCAGAAAAATAAAAAGCTGGAATTACAAAGGAGAGTTTCAAAGTTCAGAGGAATACTATCCAATCAGTATATACCAGGTTGTGCGTCAATGTTAACGTCACTCTGAAAAGTTTCGAATTGTTGCCCGAAGACAAGGGAAGACCAATCAGTATTCATTATTTTACGCCGCTTCTTCTTGTGTTTGTTCTGTGGGGTGTTTGTTATCCGATCATGTGTTCTTTGTCCAAACATAAAAATCTTTCGTGAAAGTGTTTGTTATTCGATCTGTTTGTTAACTGATCACCCACTGTATATGATGATAAAAACATATTTTGAAAAATATCAATACTTTTGTTTGTCTTTAATGCTTACTAAAATATCCAAAAATTTATCCATATTTTTGCTCCAAATTTATTATAAGATCATATTAAAAAATGTCATCAATAAATTCTTTACAATAACATTATTTTCACTCAAATAATTAGTCTCTTTGCAATATTAATTGTGTATTTACATCCACTGTATTTTACTAAAATATCATTTTTTATAACTTTTGTTTTCACAAAGTTGCTGCTAGCAAGTTAACAGCTGCATCATTTGTTTATATTTTTTGGCAATAAATACTTACAAACAAATAAGCAAAAGATATCATTAGCTACTTAATATTACAACAAAAAAAATTAGATATCTTTATTGATTGATATTCTAAAAGATTTAATATTCAGGGCTTAAAGCAGTCATGGCAGTGAAAAAAGAGAGTTCACACTGAAAAAAAGCTAATAATGTTAAAGTGAACTAAAAGTGGCATTATTAAAAAAACACACACACATTTTGTATCAATAACATTGTATATGGTATTAGATTGATTTTTAATTGGACTGAAAAAATTAAATATGAAAATAGTTAGGCTGAGTTTATACTCCAGAAAAGTGACCAGTAAGACTGCATTAAGCCAGAACGGGCCTGCATTAAGTTTTCATGTGTCCCGTATGGAGTTGCTACCATTATACAGCAAAGAAAATGGAAGAGTAACATAACTACCAGAATGTGTCTCCATAAAACATCAAATTTCAAATGCCATTTATTTCAAGGTACATTTTTTGATTTCTTGTTAAAAACAATTTGTAATTAAAGATGATTTTCTTTTGTTTAAGTCATGCTGCAGTTTCTGCACTTCTCGTTTTCTCCTCTTCATCACACTGAATTTTCTTCACACCAGAGTAGCAATTCACTATAAAGTTTATGTATTAAAGGATCATTGCACTGAAAATGCCCAGTAAAGTTTGTGAATAGTTCAGCATTAGGTATTCTCAAATAGAGTTCAGCTTTGATGATAGAACACTTCAATGACTTTGAGATTATCTTATATGAAACATTATTCATTAAGCTGGAATTTTTGAGGAATGTGCTTTAGGAAGTATGAGTCCTTCCCATTGTTCAGTCAGTTGTTTTGCTGCAGGACCAAATGTCAGTCATCTAGGTCATTTAGTTGATGAATACTTCATAAATCTGTGCATGGCAAATTAAGTTTCTCTTGAATTTCTGTGTATTCATCCTACCTAGAAGGCCACCCATCAAAAAAGCTGTGTTGCTATGATGAGATCGCCACCATCTCTGCCCAACTCTTTCAGGCCTTTCAAAAAGGAATTGTGGATTTTATGAATGTTGCAAGTCCCTATGTTGATGAGGCCTTTTTTGTGAGTTGTCAGAATTTCCTCATTTATGAGACACAATACTTTTTTGTTTGTTTGGTCCTTTGCATCCAATCATCAGTAATTTATCAAAAGGTAGATATGCATCTTCAATTGCCAGTATTATTTTTGATTTAATTGTTTTGTCATCTGCATGCTCGATAAATGAGGTCTAGAGATGCTTGCAGACAAGTTCCTGTTGTTCCTCTGAGCAGTGTCTAATCAGTATTTTCAGTTATTTTCTGTCTTCTACATTGCATGTCTCATCATAAGAAATGCTATAATATGAGCATTTCTTATGCATCATCTACCATTTGATCAAAGAAATATGGGGCCAAAGCTTCAGTGATTAAGTATCTCATTTTTTCATGTGACAATGAGAATTCTTTTGGAAGATTGTCTGCACTCTTGGCATTGATTGTCTCCTTTATATCATGACATGATGCAAATGAATATTGCTGGCTGTCATTTTCATAGTCCATAATCTTGGAGGATTGCAGTATGGGGTGTGCTGGTCACTATTTTGCTCCTGAATGCATTTACAAAAATAAATAAATTCCAAATGGGAAGTGAAAAAAAGCTAAAAAAAAAAACAAGTTTGCCTCAGAAAAAAGGTAAAAAAGAGAGGAGCTATGAAAAAAAGCTAAAAAAGTAAGTCACTTTAAGCCCTGAATATTTCATATCTGTACAATCAATCATTTTTTTAATGTATTTGTAAAATTTTGAACAGATGACTCACAATGCGTATGATATCATTTCATCTTTGTTAAATTCTTTATCATTCTAAAATATATTATATTATCTATTCATAGTAAACTTACTTTTCCATTATGACCTCTCAGTTCAACAAACTTCTCAAAAGTGAGAGTATAATAAATAATAATTAGATTTCCTTCTGCAACAGCAAACATGTGACCACTTTGGCTGAATGCACACTATAAATAAAAATATTTTAAATGAGGATTCTTTATATATTTCATTGTTTTTTTATAAGCAATATACACAGTAAAAACTTGATTTAACATTTTTTATAGAATCAGTGAAAAAATACATTAAATTGTAAAATACATAAAAACATAAAATCCAACATTCTTAAAAAAACATAACATGCTAAAACATTTTCATCAATATCATCATAACTATTGTGCATTAAGTACTTCCTTTTGTATTTTGCACTTTTTTCCATAATGTCTGGATTTGTAGCTGTACGGAAATACTATATCTGGACAGCAGAATCTGTAATAGATATCAGAAATTGACTTGATATTGCTTTATTCTGCTTGCTATGCCAATCCGTGAGTCCAGCAACAGTTTCAATGTGCCAAAACTATATAATATGAGGCCTCTATCCAGTGCCAGATTAATCCACTTTGGGACCCTAGACATTTTCTTCTTACCGGGCCTCCCTCCCTCCACAAGAAATAGAGCGCACAAAAAATATAAAACAATAAATAAAACAAAACTAAATAATGTGAAAAACTAAAACAAATCTTAAATTTTTATCAATAAAAAATATTTAATATACAACAATAAATTTTAGTTTTTCTAGAAAAGTTTGAACAGTTTGTTTATAAATTTTAAAAAATTGAAATTTATTTTATTAAATGTCTAACACAGTGCTTTTCAACCTTCTTGAATACGCGACCCCTTTACAATTTAAAAAATTCTGGCGACCCGCCAGGGCCATATTAAAACTATATCAGTGATTTTAAAAACTATGTATTTAATTTTCTTTCTGTTGAGAGCTAAATATAAATATTGATCGAAAAACCAATTGTACTGTAAATTTTACAGCACAATTGGTTTTTCAGGTTTATTTTACAGTGTAAAATAAACAGGCACAGCCTTCTCACTGAAATAATAGTTTTTTTTTTTTATTGTAGTGTAGGACCTACAAACATTTGTCTTTTTCTTTTACCCGCGACCGCCCCGTGTAAGGCTTTGCAACTTCCCACAGGTTGAAAAACACTAGTCTAACAAAAGTTGTTATACAATAACAATATTGTATAACAACTTTTATACAATATTATTTAACAAATTAATATTTTAAGGTAATAACAATATTACCTTAAAATATTAATTGTTTAATTTAAACTTTTTGGTTAATATTTAAATAATATAAAATTTTACCCAACAGAATATTTTGTCCAACATAAAAGTAAACTATCTTATTTACAAATCTTTTCAAAATAAACAATTTGACCAGGCCCTTCTAAAAATTGGACCCTAGACATTTGTCTATGCGATGATCTGGCCCTGCCTCTATCTTTCACAGAACAATGAAATGATCTCAATAATCCATTGAACTTTTATAATTCTTCTAACTATCCAAACATGAAATACAGTAACATTTCTTCTGTTTTTCTTTCTCTCTCTTTTTTTTTTAATGTTGTTTAATGTAAAAATTCATCTAAGGATTAAGTTTTTGATCTGTTAAATTCCAAAAATACACAAAATTAAAAGATGCTACATGCAGTAACATTAACATTGTGGTTTATGAGACCAGTGAAAAAATACATTAAATTGGAGAATGCTAAATCAAATTTCTATTGTGTTATATATATTATTTACAAAATTTATGTAATAAATACTGTTTTAATTGTTTGTCAGATTTTATTGGCATATGAAATATTTGCCTATTGGCATTGCCATATAATAAAGAATAAATATTCTTTAATTAGATAGATAAAAAAAACAATTCTCAAAAGCAACAGTCTTAAAGAATTTTTGAATTTACCTAATCTGAAAATTCAGAATTTGTAGAACATATGAAAGAGATTAATTTTAATCTTTAATCAAACTTACTTGATTGCATGCACCTGTGGTAGCAAATTGTTTTATCATAGTTAAATCGTCTAATCGAATTATATAAACATCAAAATGATTTGTGAATCCTACTATTAGAAACAAGCCAAATGGATGGATAGCAATACAGCATGCTTCTTCATAGAAAACTTTTTTTAACTCACATGCACTAATAAAAAAAGCATTAATTTTACACTATTCATATTTATTTTTAAAATACTGTGTGAAAGAAAATTATTTACCTATTTTGATAATTCCATAGAAATATTCTGTCTATAGAACAAGCTGCAATGAGTGATTTCCATACAGCAGTATCAATTCTTCGGATTTCACTACTACTGAATGAGTATATTAAAAATCTAAATTTTGTTTTCAAATCCTAAAATGAAAATGTACAAGAATAAAGTGATATGATATTAAAAGCATCTTTTCAAAATTATCAATATTAGTGTTTTCTAACTAGTGACTCCAATTTTCTAATGTCTATAAATACAAATCTGCATAAACATAAAATTAGAATAAAACTTTCCTAATGTTACATATTCCTTATTTTGGGAATATATTAAAAAAATGTTTTAAATAAAAATAAATGTTTTCATAGGTGTTTTAATAAATGTTCAAAATATCATTTTAAATATACTGTATATTACAGTGGGTGATCGGTTAATGAACAAATCGAATAACGAACACTTTTGCAAAAGATTTTTGTTTGGACAATAAACACCTCACAGAACAAACACAAGAAGAAGTGACGTAAAATAATGAATACTGATTGGTCTTCAGGCAACAATTCAAAGCTTTTTGGAGCACAGGAGGCATCGAACAACCCTGTATATACTGTTCAGATAATATTTCTCTGAACTTTGAAACTGTCACTTGTAATTCCAGCCTTTTATTTTTCTGACAGAAACAATTCTTTTATAGTATTTGCAAGACTGTCGGGCGGATACTCGTTAGTTTTGCATGGGTATTTATTTTTGAAAGGTGAGAGTAGGGTTTCTCAAACAGGATCACAGGATCCTGGGATCCTGGTTGTGTTTTTAACCCGGGAAATTTTTCTTATCCCAGGAAATCCTGCAAATTTCTTTAAAAATTAACTTTTTTCTTATTTTGTGTTAAGATTGAGGAAATTTTGTAAATAGAAAGCTACAAACATCTCCAACCCGATATATAATATAGCTACAACCAACAGACTGCCCGATAGATTTTCGGCAGTCTGTTGGTTGTAGCTAAATAGAAAGCATAACTAACTCATAAACTGTCAGAATACATTTGTATTTATTAATTTTAAACCTACTTATTAGTTTTTTTAATTTTTGCTCGTTATGGCATGTCACAAATGGTCAATAATCAATGCGTAGCTTATTTGTGGCAGGACTCTCAAAATTCTTTACTTGTCAAGACGTGTAATATCTGGAATAATTGTGCTTATGCTGTCTTAATTTTTAACCATGCCCAGTAGCTTCAATAACTGCATAACACCAAGTTGTGCAAATTGGGCAAGGATACAACCGAGTACAAAGTATGTAAGTATGAAGTTTTTCTTCATAACCTGATTATTAAAGACAAATGAACTGCCGAATTATTGGGCTATAATATTTCCATTAAAGCAGTAGAGATAGACAAAGCAAGAATACTAGAGAGCAAAAGAAGTATGATCTTTACTACAATCTCGAAAACGAACTAGAAATCTTCCAGGCTACAGGTGAAAAAAACATAATATATGTCTTCTCTTAAATGCATTAAACACGATTCCAATCACATCAATTGAATTGGCAAGGGCATTCTTGGTAGCATGACTTTACTAAAATAAGAACCAGATCGAGTGATCAGAGTATTGACCATCTTTGTTTTTTAAAATCTTATAAAAATTTACAATATTTTGTATTATATTTTATTTAAAAACGAAAGTACTTTCTAAGTTAGAAGTTTAATCTAAGTTCATTTTTTTTTAATTTTTAACTCAANTTATTTTCCTTAAATTTACGATTTATATATCCGTGTGTCATAAAAATTTGTCTTTCCACTTTTTTCCCGAGACTACAAATATTCGAGTACAAAGTAACCAGTTTCGACTTATTTCTACTTAAGTGAATTGGGGACATAAATCAAACCCTGCCGAAAGAGCCGGAATTTTACTTAAACAAAAGCTTAACCGAACCATCTCTAGCCGAGTACAGTGGAGGCTGAAAAAATTACAATTTACAAAATTTCAAAGTTTTTAAAGAGCCACAAATTTTTTTCTTGCCAACAATAAATAGTACTCGCATAAATAAAGTTTTTTGGTAGAAAACTAATCTATTTATTCATAAGAAAAATTGTCTTGCGTCGAAAGCGAATTAAAACTCATAGAAACATCCGACGACGGCGTCATTCGAGAGCTTCCAACGGACTGATGACAGTGACTACGCGTGTCGAGGGGGAGGGGTGCGGTGAAAAGCGAGTACAAGTGGCTGAGAGATAGAATCGGTGCCTAATCCTCGTTAATCGATTCAGAACGATTTTTAAATGTTTTTTTTTCTTTTTTTGATAAAATAAATAATATTTGCGTATGGAACTAAAGAGCCGCAGCTTCACATCCAAAGAGCCGCAGGTTGCCGACCCCTGCCCTAGACCATCGCTGACGCGCAATTGACCGATTGCCCCTGGATGTCGGCTTCTTACAGAAACACAGCTTCCCTATCATCAAATGTCACGGCACGCCACTGCATGTGCCATCCATAACGCTAATGCTGTTTTTCTCCTTTTGAAAGGTTATTTGTATATTATGCTAAATCGTCTTAAATTGATTCTTTTCGGTTATTTTAGCGCTGGAACAAGATTGCAGCACATGCATTTGCTTTTGCAATGCCAGAAAGATCTCTCTTACACTGATAGATGTTTAAGTGGATACCGTGCATATTATTATAGTCTATATTTTAAAAATGTTCATTTATTTTATTGGTTTTTATATTCATTTTCGAAAAAAGTACTTACGTTTGCTCATCTATTAAATCCGGATCATCGGGATTAATAATGATTTCATCCTTAATAATTGTTCCGTCACAAATAAGTACACGTCCTTGTTCCGTACCAATAGCTAATTTATTCGTTTTTAACCAAGACTGACAGAGGAAAGATCCTAGATGCTCTTGTTTGCCTTGAACATGCAATCTGATTGAATCTTCAAATATTCGGTAGGTTCTAAATATTCCTTTGCCAATGCAACAAATTTGATTCATATCGTGGAGATGAAAAGATATCTACAGAGATTAAAATATAGTAAATATTAATTCTATAATATTTTATATAAATATATTTTTTACGAAATCCTATACAAATTCCATGATGCGTTCGAATTATCTTTATCTAGAAAACTTCGATCGCATTGAAGATTAGGTTAAAAATCCAGCAATAAATTGCTAATTTTCCCGGCAAGAGTTAAAAATTGTGGTGGTGCCATTGTTATAATTTTATTCATAAAACTTTTCACATTATTAATTATTATAAAATATCAAAAAAGCTTTATTTAAAAAAGAAAAAATTGTAAATGCTAATAATGAGTAAAATCTTCATTAAGTCCGACTCCACTCGAGAATCGACACGTGATCCCCTCTATCTCTTCACCTCGACCTTTAACACCAAAATTTAATAGTATCAATCCCCAATAAACACATCCTATGATATTTCAGAAATTTTCGATGAAACGCACAGTAGTAAGTTTCAAAGTGGGTGAACAAAATCCTGCTCCCATCTAACATTCATTTAAAAAATAAAAAATAAAAAAAAAAACAATTTTTTTTGAATTTTTCGACGTTTCAATGCCCTGGCACAAGAATTAAAAATCTTGGAGGGTCATTTTTCATCGATCGAAATACCTTCCCTCAGCTATATATAATAGCTGGGAAAGTAATTAAGTTTTTTGTCAAAAACTCTAAAGTGATGACAATTCCTACGAAAATAAATGAAATGCAGCCACATTGAAGAGGTTTTTTCATTTATCCTGTTTGAATGAAATCAAAGGTGAGTAATTATAACTTTTAAGACAAAATGGCTGCACTATTTAAAAAATTTTTCACTATATTTTATTTAATTTTATTTTACATAAAGAAATAAAAAATAATATATGAAAACAATATAAACATTTATAAACTATTGAAAACAACTTCTCATTTAACCTATACTAATATTATAAAGAGGTAATGTTTGTATGTATGTATGTATGTATGTAAGTAAGTTTGTATGCAGCAGGTAATCTCCGAAACTACTCATCCGATTTCAAAAATTCTTTCACCAATATTTAGAATGGAACTTCAGGGTGGACATAGGCTATATATTATTCAGTTAAACATTCATATAAATTAAAAGATATAATCTAGGTTAAGGCTTTTATGTCCAACAGATGGCGCTACGAGTACGACGCCCTAAGTTTGCTTTTCTGTGAAAATGAACTAAAGCAGATCATCTTCTATCTATTTATATAAATAAAAATGTAATGTTCATTTGTTCCTACCGATTCATTTGAAATTTTGGCACAANATACTGTATAATCAAGAAGACTCAAGCAAATTAAGGAGTAACAAAAATCACATCTGAGAAATAAAAAACATTGAAGAGCTCATAATGGAACCTGAAACTGATCTGACGAAGAAGAATGCCAAGAACTCTTGAATGAAGAACACCAAAAAACTCAGCAAGATATGTTTTTTTCTGAAAAAGAGGATTAATGCTAATATCTGCTATTAAAGATCTTTTGAAGAAGTGGGAAGATGTCAGAACAACAGTCATCCAAATGGCATCCAAACCAGATTGAGGTTAATTAATAGGCTAATTGTAGAGATTACAATTACATTGTAATTGTAATCTCTACAATTAGCCTATTAATTCTTCAAAAACTTCTTCAAAAGATCTTTAATCTCTACAATTAGTAATCTCTACAATTGTAATCTCTACAATTAGCCTACAATTACATTGTAATTGTAATAGCATTGTAATCTCTACAATTACAATGCTATTAATTACTTCTGAAACATCCTGAAGAAGAGAGAAAAGCAATCGACATTAGACAGATTCTTTAACACCCACAAATGGAAAAAAACACGACTAATAAAAATGCAAGACTGTGTATATATGTATTTTTATTATTACATATATTATTTCAGATCTGCAATATTATCAAATGGAAATTAATTGCACAAATTTCATTTGTGTGGTTGAATTACAGTTACTGTAGGTATTTTGTAACTAACCAGTATGTTGTCAGGATTGAACTTTTTTTTTTCTTAATATTTTATATGCAGATGATAGCAAGAGCATGACATATTACTGGTGTTTTTGTATTATTGTTGTATTTAATTTTATCTAAATAAAACTAAATGTTTAATGTTAAAAAACTGGTAAAGTTTTGTGTATTAAATAGAGCAAGTTTAATGCTCAATAACATACCTAGTTGTGAGTTACAAAACTATTTAGCTGGCCTACATTAGTTGAAAATGATTTGACCACACACACAAATTTTGTGCAATTAGTTTTCATTTGGCAGTATTGCAGGTCCAAAATGATGCATCATATAATTAATATATCAATACTATATTGTACATTTGCCCTTGATGCTTCTCTGTACATTGTATATTATTATTATAACAAAGTAAAATAAAAAACAAAAAGATACTTGAAGTATGAAATATTTAAAAAATTAAAACTGCAACAAAACTAAAATATATGAATTATACTATAAGAAATGATAGTTGATAGGAGTCAGTTAACACATTATATAGAATATGTAATTTATCATAATTAAGAAAATAACTTGCTATTGCTTTAATAAAAATATTAGATATACATGAGACAACACTGATCTAAATTATAGTAATAGGGCAAATATATTACTTTTTGAACATCAGCATCAGTCAAACAACAATAATATAACTGATTGTAATTTGTTCCAACAACAAGAAGCTGATCTGTTAAATTAAGCTGTAAATTTGTAATTTTCTCTGGATTATTTTGCTTTGCACATATCTTTTCTTCTTGAGAAAGTTCTGGGAGCTGTAATATAAAATTTGACAAAACTAAATTCAAGAAATAAACATTATTTATATTTTCAAACTTAATAATCCAATATTGATAATTGTACTATTATTATATATTAAATTTTTAAAAATCTAAATTAAGGCAAGAACAAACAATTTTTTGATTCACCTTGATGATGGGTGCAAGACAGCGATTGTCTCTAAAGACAAAAAATAGATAATGATTTTGAAACATATGAATATAATACATTGATAATAAAAGTGATGTTTATGATGAGAACATTGTCAAAACTCTTTCTGGTGTCTCTGAAACTGAACAAGATGCATGTAGCGTAATGCAGTGATAATATAAAAATACCAACAAGAACAAGAATCATTTTTTGTTTGAAAAGACAAAACAACAAAATGGAGAAAATCCATCTCCAAAAAGGCGACATCTGTGAAGAAAAGAGGACAATGTGCAAAAACAAAGCACGATGCATGGAATTATTTCATTGATAATGAGATATTGAATTTGATGATATTAAACACTATAATAATGTTGAGTCCATGCAAGACAATTATATTTGGCAAAGAAATGCTAAAATGGCAGACATTATAGAACTAAAGATATTTATATTTTATCACTGCTACATGCATTTGGCCGGATTATACAAGAGTAATACTCAAAATTTGGGAGGCCAGTAAGATACAAGTGGCAAAGAAGTAACATTCTGCCTGACCATGTTTTTTTTTTTTTTTTTTTTTTTGAAGGTTCAATTCTTGTATGTCATTCAATTCAACAATAAGAAGACTCACGCAGGCCAAATAAAAGTTTACAAATTAGCAGTGTGGAAAATAGTTTTCAAAATTTTTTATTTAATTGGACAAAATGTGACAATTGATGGCTAGTTGGATTCAGAGGTAAATCAAATATGATTTAGAAAGTACATTCTTTTAGAATTATATAAGTACAGGAATTACATATTTTGTGGTTAATGCCAATTTTATCCAATTTTAACCTTGAAATTTAGGCAGAAAAACAGCTTGAATATAATATTCCTTAACAACTAGCAGGTAAAGGGTCTTTCAAATTGAGCGCCTTTTTTAAAAAATAAGTAAAATATAGATGGCGCAGTGAATTCGTCCGGGTATTTTGACAGTTAAGAGTGACGTATGACATTTATAAAAATGGATTCGTACACGACATCATAACGCGTTCAAGTTTTTGAATTATTTTATTAAAATCAGCGTTCTGTGAAAAATGTTTTTTTAAAATTACGTAATGTTTGTCAGATATCTAGAAAATAAACAATTGATAATTTGTGCATTGCTTTTGTAGTTATGAGTAGTTAATATCTGTTAATTTAATGTTCAAATCTTTTTTCCATCCTTCAGCAATAGAATATTTTTTCACCTAAATTTACTTTAATTCTTTTCCACGTGTCATAACCCTCATTTCTGATTTTATGTTGAACCTCTATTGAACCCGATGTAAACAGGAAGTTACGTTATTTCAATTAAAAAATTTAGATAGATGACCGGCATGACTATTGATAACAGGAAAAGTACAATGTACAGGGGTAGGGACAAGCCGCCACTAATTTGAGGTAGACAGCATATATTTTAAATTAAATAGATTAAAAATTGCAACCCGGCATTGTGACAATGTCACAATAAATAATAGCTCGTTTGGTTTGTTTCTATTTGGAACAGCGTACCGCCTCTGTGGGAATCGCATCTCAACTGCATCGGATTTTGAATTACTGTATTTCTAATGTTGAATTAATTGATTTGAAAGCATTTAAATTTTTTTACTTACGTATATCAGAAATTCTCGGCCTAAAAATTTAGGTAATGAATTGTCAAATATCAAAGCTAAAATAATTTAAAATACCTAGTAAATATTGATTGAGAAAGTTAATAATTGCAAAAAAAAGTCTTAATTTTATTAGAAAAAGTCACTGATGTACAGTACATATTTGACAGCTGAAAACATACTAACAAAATATTTGATTAACATAGTTTTAAAAGAAAATTTAATTTTAATTTTTATAGAATTTCGTGAATAGCGATATAAATTTCTTCTTTAATTTTAATTCATCGTTATTGAGATTTCGATAAAAATAAAATAAAATTACCGTGATCAATTTTGTAGTTTTATAAATACCATCACTCAATTCATACATGAATACACTTTCGTTACCCCAAACACATGCAAATCCAACTTTTGTCGTTACAATGCACTTAATAGGCTGAACTACCACAACAGTAGGATTAATTCCCTTCGTTTGATTTTGTTTATCCAAAATTTTGCTATAAAAAACATTTAAAATAGGTTAAATCTAATATTTTGCTATAAAATTTTTTTAAAGTAATTTATAAAATTATATAATTAATATATATATACTCTTATATATTAAAACTTTGTCCTATGGGCATTAAGATAGCCTTTTATTCTATAGTCGTCGTAGTTCGCCCAGGCCCACAATGATGGAGGGATGGGGCTTGGCATATCCGGTACTCGTCGCCCGTGAAAAAAACTGAAAGGCTTGTTCGCCCTGATTCGATCCCGAGTCCCTCCAAAACCTATGTCTCAATACCTATCGAATACTAAATATTGTGATTTTTTAAAATTATATTTGACTAAAAATACAGTGAAAATTGATCAAGGACTCTGATATGTGTAGTATCAGTTACAAATCAGTCTGATAGGATGCAGAACGCGCTCATAGAACTGTTATGATAGTATACAGAGGGTTACGTCTTAGTGCTCTCAGAGCGTGAAGAGGCTTTCAAAAAAAAGCCCAACCTTAAAAATAACACCTTCCTCTCAAATTTCACACAATGTGGATGTTAGTCTGTGTAAGCAGAGATAATTTTCAGCAAGTTTCTTAAATTTAATATGTTTATTTTTGTATTATTGAATCAAATAACAATAAAAAAAAAGTATACATAGAGTGTATACTCAAATATTTCTAAATTTTACTGTTATATCTTTTAATTGCCAACGCCAAAATTCACGATACTTTTTTTGTGGTTACCGATAATTCTTTTCGATTAAATATATTGTCGTAAAATTGTTTGCGTAAAAAATTTGAAAAAAGCACTGCACAAAAATCGGGATATTGATGTCTGCGCATAAGTGCTTTCCAAACGGGAATTGACTTTCAGATAGATCATGAAATCACTAAAACCGTTGCGTTAAATGCGTTGGTGCGCATACTTGAACGAACTATGTTCATTAACAGACATTTCTCACGTTAATATTTATTTATCATCATTTCTACGCGCTATGACGTAAGAACCTTTAAATAATATTCGAAAACCAAAATCAGCCGAACCGTCGGAAATATCGTTCGAAATATTCGATATTGAAAAAATTTTTAAAAAACCGTCGGAACATCGTTCGGAAAGCTTAAACTGTCGAATTCTATGTATCGCCTGATGATGGTAGTTTTACACTATTGAAAGTGCTAGCGGAAAAACCTTTCTCCAAAAGTCGGATAAATTTCCGGATCGGGAATTCCACTCCTGTAACGCCACTGCACGTAAGTGTTCTAATACGACTAATAGTATACGTCGGCGTGAAGTGCAAACTTATTATAACTCTAAGTGGTCTTTGGAAAATACTAAAGACGAATGGTCAAATGTAACACTCGAAAAATGTAAACAAGTGTTTGACTCATGGAAATGGCGATGTAGGTTTGTTTACAAACAGCAAGGAGAACACGTTGGACAGACCAGAACAATTCACAGAAGGGTTCTTAAAGACATTAATTAATTTTGAAGTTGAGATTCAAATTGCGTGAGGTCCTGCACGTGGTCCAAAATATTCTGTACACAATATTGTTAAATAGTGACCGGTAAACATTCTAAACACGACAGTAGACGAATGGCTCGATGACTTGGCACAACTATAGGAGGTTTGGTACCAGTACGATAGCGAGCCACCTTATTTCCGGACAGACGTGCGTCAGAGTTGAAATTGCTGGATAGGATAACACGGCCCTGTTCTATAACTGCTACGTTTCCCAAACTTGATCCCTCTCAATTTTTCCTGTAGTTTCCTAAAAACATCGGTGTATGATGCTGGGTACGCGTAATACAGTACACGGATATCCAGAAGTTCCGCATCATTTTGAAGAACTGCAGAGACGCATACGAGAGACCTGGGAAACTGTGAACCAGGAATGGCATGTGCCCAGTAGCGTGCCGTCATTGGAAGCGGTGGATGCGCCGCTTCCAATGACGGCACAAAATAAATACATATTAATTTTAATTATATGAAAATAATCGCACAATATTTTATTATAACTGTATTATATATTTTATTACAAATTTCTATACTACACGCGAAAAAAACGATAAGATTGCTATTGTATATACGAATATTAATGGCGGAGTGGAAGCGCTGTATTGTCAGCATCCAAAGAGCCAAATTCGCGCATGCGCTTTACAGAGCACCAACCTCACCAGGTTTAGCCGGTGGAAGCCTAGGACCTCGGGTGGATGCTACACGTATACCGCATCCAATTCTATCCAGGACCGGTTCTGGGCTGTTAGCCGCCTGCCCGCTAGATATTTGGCCGCCCTCGCCAGATTACGTGAATCGCGAGTAGATTTATAACTTAATCCAAGCGATAAAAATCTACTGGTATGTTTTTACGATAGTTCTGTATAGTTGACAGGAATTTTTAAAAAATCCATTAAAATATTTGATATTTTTATTCCGCTCTCCGATTTTATATTACTCACGGATTTCAATGTTAAACCAGTGATATTACGATTTCGTATATACCATCTTTAAGGGGATGTAGAAAAAACGTGTACAATTCTTGTATAATGTTAAAAAATTAACTGTTACTTTGACAGCGTCATTTACGACTAAATTTAATGAATGAGAGAGATGCACGAGGTACAGAAAAAGCTCTAGAATTTATTTTCCTTAAATTTACGATTTATATATCCGTTTGTCATAAAAATTTGTCTTTCCACTTTTTCCCC